GTCTAGTCGATTATACGATATCATTGCGCTTTAAGTAAGATAGCTAACGATAGATTCGCTTATTCCGATTACCGATAAGGAAAGCATTGACTTCAAGAATATCTAGTCTAGTTAGGTGGGCTGTGGACAGTCGTTTTCCAACAGGAAGTGAATCTTCATCAACAACGTAAAATCTATGACACCTTGTGCTTCAAGGCTATGCTGTCCTAACGGTCATTTCAAAGATCCCACAACAGGGCAAGATTGTGGCCTGAAATACTCTCACCGACCTAACCGTACATCAAAACAAGTACAGAGATTAAATAATCCCAATTCTGGAAGACGGAACACAACAACAGCAACAAAAATTTTCAATGTGTTTCTTACTATTCTATTATGCTGTTCCCTTCGCTATTTGTAGTGGTCGACGGAGTCAAGAGAGGCATCACTCGCCTCTAAGGTTCAATGCAACTGAAGTTCCTGCTACTAAATGAAGCAAACGTTTTCCTAGAAAGTGGCCACAAACATACCAATCACACAAGCTATCGTTATGAAACATCAGTGGCAAAAACCGAGACTACACAGAATCTACAGTCACACAGGTCGTTTTGGGCAACGGGAGATTTACATGGGTTCTACGCCAGCCTGATAAATGGGAGTCTTGAAACCTGATTTCTTTCTTACAACATGAGTGAAGCAAATTACTGAAATCGGCTTAGAGAGTTAAAACTCGAACAATGACCTCATCCTGTGCAATTCAGAGCCGATGCAACTAGGGATCCACGCGTGGTTTCTGATGATTATTTTTAAATTGTGAAACGCGTTCTCAGAGGCTGCTTACTGTATAGTTACTGCACAGTTCTGCAGTTTTCGAGGGGAATTCACGTGCCAAAGAATAGTCCCATATATGCTGGTTGGTCTCCAAGCATGAGCAGTGCTGTAAGTTTTTCTTTGGCTGACAGCGCTTTCACCAGCAACAATGAGAACCCCGTGGCTTTGGTGAGCATCAATACCACATCACTAATTTACCATTTTACCATTTCACTATTTCATCGATGACGACTAAAGGGGACAACACATTTTGCAGGAGGGTCTCTAGGGTCATCACACGAAATAATGTCCATGCGATGAACTGACAACGTCAATTAGGTTCTGCATCACACCCTGAAGGACCAGCCGATTGACAGATTCAGATACACTCCTAAAAGCCGGGAGCATTGAAACTGCGGACCAGCTGTACATAGAAAACCGCTTCGGTAGTTGAAGGGGCGAGGAAATTTTATATGCTCGTCGTGTGCCTGATTTCTTCGGGTTAGTTTCTTACATTCATTCGTGTAACACGGAAGAAACAGTGACACGATGTGTTCTTACGGATGAATGAAGCCAGATATATATCTTTGTGATCAATACATCCAAAGCGAGTAACTCTGCTGTGTGAGTTCTTTCTTCTACCTAGATGGGTACATGTCAGTCAGACGTTCTCTGAAGAAATCACCGTTGGATATAGCATGCAAACGGTGTTTTGAATATGACCTTCGGTTGAGACTGTTTAACGGGATGCATTCATATCGTTTGAAGACTGCACAAGTGTTTACAGGTTGCTTGGTTGTGACAGTATGCATGTGTGATATCAGGTGATCAACCGTCAAATTTGATTGTCAAACCGTTTTTATCTGTTAAATATCAAAAAGCCGAAATAATTTCCTTAGATTGGGACAACCTACGGACGGGCCCAGTGTTTTTCAATTTATTTCTTTGACCGCAACTTGACATTCAAATATGCATCCTTCGTTGTGTGACAGTTGTTTAGAGAGAAATGATCCTATGCCCTAAGAAAGCTCTCCGCCTTATCAGGTGGCAGATGATACACTTCTTAAGTTTTGAGCCCTTGAGTTTCTCTCTGCTGAGAGAGGCATATCCATTTTAGTAGACCCGTAAAGCGCGGATAAAAGCCGTGACATGCTCAGTGGAATTCACTTAGGTATTTCAGAGGGACCGACAAGCAGTGGTTATTTCTTGTCATTGGCACCTTTTGGTGGCGTTTCATAGATGGAACAGGACTAGTTTTTATGTGCTCCTAGTTACTGCGTCTATCTTTTCTACGCCGAATGTTCACTCAAGTGAGCACGAGAGGTGCCACGTTCAGTGGCTTCCACGTTCATGTCAACAATGACTCCTGTACTTCAGTCTACTTTAAAAGACACATTGAAGAGGCAGAAACGGCCTCTGCTTCTCTGGCATCGCCAAACGAACTACACACAGACTGCAGTAAGCGAATGCGCAGTCAAAGAAAAATATCCCGACAGATGCTATGACACGAAATGGGCTCCTACATCCCAGTCGCAGTGGTCTTTGCACCACCAGAAGGGTACAGGATTGTAAGGAGAATGATGCGGTGAACACTGTAATTTCCTACACATGAAATACATCGATACCTGCCTAATTTATCGTAACATTTGACACAAATCGCCTCTAGCTAATTAAACATTACTTCAATTTGCTTTAGAGCGATACCTGAATTCGGGAGCGTGGAAGGTGCCAGTAAGGGTTAAGTGAGGCAAACAGAGTTGTCAATTACAGCAGTGAGGGCTGAAGAGAAAGACTGATGCCCGGGAGTGTTTGAGAGTCAAAAGAGACTAGGCAAATGTATGAGCACAGAGGGTTCATCCACGGTAGTTTTTCGACTATCGGTCTCTGTGTGTAGCTCGTCGAATGATGAAGAAACAAAACGTTTGGTTTGAATCTTTGGCCATACTGTGTTCACTTTTAGGACCACTACTATTCGTTGTCTGAACACGAGTTAACTTGGCTGGCTGTAAAATAAGCGCACTAATTGTAAAATATTATTTCCTCTCGGTTATTTGCAGATATGCTCTCTATATACCACGAGGAGAGGGTTTAGAAGTTCAAGTGCATGGTTTAGTTTGGGCAATTCAGATCATCATTCATGGACGTCGATGATTATTGTCTATGTCGATATCTGATCAGCTGCAACTCAACGTTCATTAAAAACAATTGATTGACAGACACTAAAGGGATCAACAAGAGTGGTCAGATTTGTTGTAGGCGCTTTTAAAGATGAATCTCGAGAATTCTTAGCCGTATTTTTCTTGTCGCCGTACACGAAATCCACAACTAAACCGCATAACAAAATAATAGAACCAAAAATAGGACCAAAATTATAGGACCATATATCCTGTCTAAGTGCGAGTTGATCACACTGCTGATCAGCCGCTCGTGGCCGAATGGTTAAGTGTTCAAACTACTAGCCAGGAGGTCGCGGGTTCGAGACTCTCCGAGGTTTCGTGAGATGCCCACCGCTGATGATTCCCAATAAGGATGAAACAGCTGTACAGTGCTTCTCAGCTTTTCAGCATAGATTGGCTTCACTTACAGAGCGAAATCTCCACGAAAATAGGACCGTTTCTCCAGCCTAGATGTTAGAGGTGGACCGAAGTATAGGCAGTTGGTCACGTGTAACACATCATAGATAGAGCGTTTTAGTAAAAACTCTCTGTAAGAACTGTTTTAGAATCAACTGAAAGTAGAAAGCGGACGAGAAAAGACCATAGGCCACTTCATGAGCAGCGTCCCACTAGGAGATTCTTAACCGGCCAAACGATGTTTTTTGTTTCCATGAAACATTGCGAAAATTTCTGTGAGTGTCTAGGAAATGCGCCTTGGCGCACCTAACTAAACCGATTGCAGTCCAAATGCGCGTTATGTTATGTTTGTGCCTTCCTGGTTGGGGCGCACGTGTTTCACACATCATGGCAATATGGTATGTAGCCGATCCAAGTGGTGAGTATGAGTGACTTCCTAGTGACACCTTTCATCATGTACTGGGCTTGTGTTAGTAACGTTCTCAAAGAATGTTGAAGAAAACCCGTTAATCAGCGCATGGTGCCTGTATTGGTATCAGTGCATCTTGAAAGTGTAAACACCTTTGAGACATGTTTCTTCCTCTGAGGACGTACAACGTCTTGCACTAGGTTTCAACCATTTCTCTTTCTATACAGTAGTTTTTATGGCATTCCTTCATCCTGATTTATGGCAGCTAGACGCTAATGTTTGTTTCTGGTTTACGTTGATGATAGTAGTGAAGGATATTCCGATTAGCCCCTTTTACTCATCAGTTGAAGCAGTCATTCACCCAACTTCGGAATCAGACACGTTTGCACCTGCGCACTACAGAGTGTGAACGGGTTCTTCTAGGTATAAAAATGTTACAGCTATTGGAATTATTGAACACTTTAGATAGCCATCTTGATACTACTCATCACCTCCATTGATATGATGTGGTTCCAAATGAATTTGTGGTGAACTAAGCTAGCGCAAAAGACCTAATCAGCAATTTTGATGGGTATAGTAATATTGGCAATATTAACGTTTGCGATAACATGGAATGGCAGAATATTTAAACAAATCCACGCAGCGATCCTCTTCACATCCCATATCACGGACTGACTGTAGCTCAGGCGCATACAACTATTGGCCTGCCACCATGAGATTAAGAAACCATAGGATAATGTGGTATAACAGCGTAAAAGTGCACAACTCCTAGACTCCAGAGCATGTGACCTCTATGAAAGAAAATGGAGGATGTTCCATAAATATTCCATTCGGACGCTCATTAAAAGTGCCGTAGAAACACTTAAAGAGGTTTTGAGGCAAAATACTAGGACGCCGTCTTAGAATGACTCCTCAAGTTTGTACCACCCGTTTTCTTTAATTTCATGGAAATCCATTCAAAGATTTTCCTGCATATTACAGGTTTCGTTTTTTAGTAGCCATCATTTATCGGCCATCAATCCAGCAGCCAGCAACAATTTCATAACTTTCTTTCGAGTTGTATACATTTAAACTCAATACTTTGAAAGCAATATCTATATAACCTAGAATTTTTTTTGTAGTAAAAGAGAACACTGCTAGCTCAGATTAGAAGGACTCGTTTCCTTTGCGTTCTTGGTTCAGATGCGCTCACAGTCCTTTCTATTTTCATTTGTATGTTTCTTTTCCAGCCCGGTGTTCCCCCACGACACGTCATCACATGGCATTGCATGCAATACGTTGGCTTACACTGCAACTCGAGTCTGCTTCCAGTACACAAACAACATCTGTGGTAACCAGACCATCTGTAGTCAACAATTCACCATTTCTGCCGGCTGATGCGACTCCAGAAACCATGTATTTGGCAGTCAAGGTAGGGCCTATTTAATGGAAATTTGCACCGAGTCGCTTACTTAATATTGAAATATCATACAGAGCCGTCGAATGATAAGGAACGGTTAAGTTATTGTTCGTTGTCAAACTGGCAGTTTCGTTTGCAGTTCTGACAGTGCAAAAGTCCCTTGCTTCTTTTTCGAAAAAGTTTGGTGACAATCGGTAGATTTATTGCTTGCTAACGTTTCGCTTTTGACACAAAAGCTTCGTCAGGCCAAGTTCCGAGGTTGATCGAGATTTAAGGCGGAAGGAGAACCAATCAGCTAAGTCAAGCTGAATCTCTGTTGGGTGTCGGCCGAGGGATTTTGGTGTGTTAGAGTGGTTGAACAAGTGTTCGGTCGGTGGGGAAACCTACATGTGTTTGGGGCCAGCCTAGGGCCTAGTTCTTCTGGTGCGGTTAATTTGATGGTTCCTCTTGAACTTCGTTTGAAACTTCTGTTAGTCTGTGTGGGTGAGGTAGTGCTAAGAAAGTTGTGTAAGAGGGATGCTGTGACCTTTGGTCGGTTGGGGTTTCCACCCCTACCCCCCGGTTTTTTCTAATGATCCTAAGTGGATTGACAACCACACTGTCACGTGTCAACTCGGCTTATCTAAGACCGCTCTCCATACGTTCGCTAGCTCCACACCCTCGATTCTATTCACGCTGTGATGCTTAGTGATTTCCACCGCCTCGGCTATCAGCCGTTGTGGTGTGAATCGCAGTCCCCGTCTTAAGACTTCCACATTCTCCAGATCTATTCTATGTCCCGTGTCTAAGGCATGTACCGCCATTGCTGAGTCTTTGACGAGCGTTTGGTATTCTTCTGCATTCCTTGGTGGTTTGTTAATCCTTCCTTTATGCTCACCAATTCTGGTGTGCAATTCCCTGGCAGTTTGTCCTATATAAACCTTAGCACAATTGTTGCAGTTAATTTTGTACACACAGTCCCTAGTCCTTTCAGCCTGCAGGGGATCTTTCAATTGCACCAAAACTGAGCGTAGCGTTTTTCCCTTCTGAAAAGTTACTCGAATGTTGGCTAAGTTCAACAATCTTCGAATAACCTGCGATGTTCCTGCTTTATATGGAATGACTGCTGTGCCAATCCATTCCTTACTGGGTCTGGATACTGGAGCCAATATCTTCCTCAGTTGACGCCTAATCAAACTCACTGGGTATCGTACTTCTTGAAGTGTGTTGACGATCTCGATTTGAGCTGCCATCCGGTCGATCTTTTCTGTGCACAGCGCTCTAACTCGACGAAACATCGATGAGACAATGCTGGCCTACACGGACTTTGGGTGTGTTGATAAATAGCTTAAGACGGTTCCCGTGTCTGTTGGTTTCTGGGAGATAGTCGTTTTCAATTTCCCCCCAACCTTATGTGTTATACAGTCCAGAAAGGGTAATGTGCCCGACGTGGACTCTATTTCCATGCTAAACCTGATGTGTGGGTTTAAACTATTGAGATGGTCGAAGCTTTTGTGTGAAAAGCGAAACGCTGCCCAGCAATAAATCTACCGATTGTCACCAAACATTTTCGAAAACGATGACTACCCAATCGGTTTCAAGTATTTTTCCTTGCTTCTTGTTCTTCACATAAAAAAAACACTTGGAAACAATCAGATCTGGCAAGGTGGCCGACAAACCTTGTTCACACCGTCTATAGTGAAAAACAAAATGAATGTATTTGTTGAGATCTGTGTAGTTTGAGTTAAAGTGAGACATGAGATCGATAGAACCTCGGGGACTGCGCCTACCTGATGAGACCTAATAAGGGCGAAGCCGGTCGTTGGAGCTGTCAGTGTTTTAAGCAACCGTGTGAGTAATTTTCTCTATGAAAAAACACTACCTGATGCTAATAAGGGCGAAGCCGGTCGTTGGAGCTGTCAGTGTTTTAAGCAACCGTGTGAGTAATTTTCTCTATGAAAAAACAGGCAGTAGTTCTCTGAACTACCGCTGTCTTTGTGTCAGCAACTACGCCAAAAACATAGTCAAAAGTCCCTTAATCAATCCTATTCAAATGAAATAAATGGCCTCGTATTGGCCAAAACCCTACCCAATATTAAATTTTATTCCTTTTATGGGTGTATCCAAGTCCAAAGTCATCAAGAAACTGCTCAAGGCTACCGATTTTTGTAGTGGCGTAAGCACATCCAACGAAGAGGCTCAGCGTGCGAAATTGTACAGAGGTAGACCTATTATGCCACTCAGTAACTCCAAGAATTTCCAGAATTGAGAAAAACATGGTTTTTCCTATACCGAACGTACAATCGATATTGAAAACAAACGCAGGAGAAAGAAGTCACATGTGTAAAGAAAGTAATACCAACAGTACGTTTTCGTCTTTTGTTATCAAGGACTCAAAGTACCTGCTGGTGTGTCGGGAAGTTCTTCACAAATTTTGGAATCAAATTCACTTTGAATTTGTATTTTAAAAAAGTTCCGAGGAACTTCAGTGTGTGAAGATCTCCTATTGCGTAACAGTAAGAAGTACTAGCTTTTTTGACCTCCTTGAGAGTGTGAGTAAGTCCGCTTACACTTCGGTCGGAAGACTGGTAACAAGCTATAATATCTAAGGCATACACAGAAGGGAACTAGAATTTATCATAAGGTTGATATGAGTTTGCAACTTGACCAATCAAATAATCAAATCAATCAAATCATATCATCATTTGAACAGCCCTCATTCTGTACGGAACTGCGTTATTCTGGTAGGTCTACACTAGGTAATTACGCCGGAGCTAGTGATGGAATATTCAAACAACTGTGATTTTAGCGCAATCCCACAAATTCCTTTGTTCGATCCTTGCACGGTCAACTATATGCACTGTTGATGAGCTCTGATAAGAGCGAAGCTCGAGTTTAGTCTATTCCAACTTTGTGTGGACTCATCAAAACAATTGCACTAGGACGGGGGAGGACCTCCAAAACCAGAGCAACGTGAACTTGGGTCCTACCTATCCAGCGACCCTTTACAAGAAAAACCCTTCCGTGCGGTCACAACTACAAAATCATAGAACACCAAACGACCTATATGATCATCAAACACTTGACTAAATTAAGAAAACAACACTAATGCCATTGAGATCTTCGCTGATATTTACATAGTTAAATGTATTGTACACCTGTCAAAAATCTGTGTTGAATAGCTTTCATGCGCCATAATATTTGTTAGTAAAACCCCCATTTTATCTTCGCCAATGCCTATATCAACTACTGAATCAGAACGAGCAATACGTTCGCAAAATTGTGGTGGCAACTTTCTGTTCACTAGACTGTTAACTGGAAGACAAATAGCTCCATGCAGTGTAACGGAGACTAGTGATCAGTGATATGAAAAATTTCACACTGGAGACCTAATTGCGGAATTAGGTTTGAAACCTTGGGATGTGTCCAGCCGTAGGTTATCACTACATCTACTCAGTATCAAAAAATCATTTAGGAGTTGCAGCTTTCACTTTCCCAAGGTGACTTATTCCCAGTGTATCCAACGAAGGAAATTGGCAAAAAGTTTGTTTGCACTGTTTATGACATACTCTACAGAGTAACGCCAGGTCAGATGACCGCTCAGCAAGCCGCCCTCTATGCAGAAAGGTGTTTCTTTCATGACCCTTGTTGCTCAAAAAAACTATATTGTTTACCCTATCTTACAATCGATTCTGGAGATGCACATGTTCACCGTATGGTGAACGTTTGGTAAACGCTCATAAGACTGCAACATTAGCCGTGAACTTAGTAACTTTTTCGGGTCAAGAAGGTAGATGGGCTTACAGTCACCTCGATGGAGGCGTTCGGCTTAAGACAGTCAATAAGATGTGTGTAGTGTGACAATGTCGAACACAATGAAGCAAAGTGTCTTATCTGGTAATGAGCATACTCGTAGGCGGAAAACCTACATAAGGGATTTCGCCAGTCTGGGGTATAATCATCCGTATAAGTTTTTTTTCCAGATAATTCCTTGACAGCGGTTACATTCTGCCGCACGGATTGCTTGACTGAAATGAATATCACGGAATTAGACGCTTACAGTATCAGACACCAAGAACATCAAGCAGGAGAATTTTCTCGTTTATCATTCGAAGATAGTTGAAAATATGCTATCTTGTTTCTCCAAATTTATCAGTTGTCCAAACAAACTATGAATCAAATCTTTAGTACAGTAATGACTGCAACCAGTCGACAAACGGGTGGACATCGTATCATCTATATTTTATTCTGAGCTAAAGACATGCGTCGCTTTCTCAGGTCACTGTCTTCCAGCATGTGCTACTGGTCCACTTATGTAGTGCACATTGTACCAGAAGTGTGATGGTAGATATCATTGACGAGGCACGCGAGTAGTATGTTTTCTCGCAAATCCGTTTTGCTTCTATTTAAGTGAGCTTCATTACGGAATTTGTGGGGTTGCTTTGTAGTATTTGAGTAACAGTCCATGAATGTCCACGGAAGCTCAGGAAGGCACGTTCGAGAGAAATATGGTTATTTAATTTTCTGCAAACAAGATGTCTATGAGACTTTTGCTTCCCTATCCAATAGTCTGCAACTGCTTAGTTGGTGTTTTCCATTAAATAACTTAGCAGCAAGGGCAATCTTCCTTCCAGAGATATTTTGGTGGCTCCGTTGCGGCTAAGAACCGGTTCGCCATATGGATATGTGTCCGAGGAACTGAAGTGCTGCTCATTGACCTGGAGGGGGTAGGGTTTCACTCACTTTCAGTAAGGTTGAATCTAGCAGCAGTTTTTCGTCGATAAAGTGGTGCCGGGCGAAGAGCTTTTTTAGTCGGACATCCCTTGATGTCTCATTTTCCCGTCAGAAAAAGTGTACTTAGTTGATGATAGTCTATGTGCCTGAACAATTCAGATTTTTCTAGACCTTTGAGAGTTTCCTTCTCAAGACATGTAACACCTTGATATTTTGCTAAACACCCGATATACTGTATCAAGATTTATGAGTCAGGATGTTCTCCCGCAACCGGGATTCACATCAGGATATGTCATTCTAGAGAAGACGTAGGAGTATAAGCAATTAATAAGAGTAATGCCTGGTGGACGAATGTGCACTCTGCTGAGTGGGTGCGCAAAATAAGAGGTGATGTTTGTTGGGGTGAACTCGGTTAGCAGTACATGTAAGTGCAAGACAAAGAATAAGTGTACTTTACTCTGTAGAAAAAAATTGAAGTGTCCCACACTAAAACGAGAGCTGGTGCAACTACCTTGTAAACTGGATTGCCGGTCCCACGGTTTTCTGCTTCGAAACAAATTAGGAAGGTTTACTCAAACAACAGTACTGACCGCAACTCACATGGATTGAATACCGCACTAAAATATCTGGATCAGGCCTGATAGGTACCAGATACATACGAATTTTAACGATTCTTCGAAGCACACGAGATTGTTGCTGTTTACCAAGATGGTTTCCCTATCAGTAAAGGCGAACCTTTACGGTTCTTGAAGCAAGAGTACCTTTAGACAGATCTACATTACTCAGTGAATAAAAGGAAGCTGATATTAGGAAGCCATTGTTTTGGCTCAATTGACTTCACAGTTTATTCCTGTCTTGAGACTATTCACTCATTTTTTCTGAAGATTCAGACTTTTATAGATTTTATAATTGATTATACTTTGAAATATCACCGGCACAGAAAAACATGGCAGTACTATACAACAGGAAACCAGGGTCAGAGATGGAACTACATCGTGATGTGCTGGACAACTAATAAGCATATAAGTTCACAGTTTTGTTGTCTGTAAAATTGAAGGAGCACAGATGAAGGTTCGGCGGGCTACACTTAACACATAAGCAAAAGTGGTGAACCTTCGATGGTGATGTGCTCTCGAAATTTGAAGCCGAGCAAAAATACTTCATTTTCAGTTGAAATCATGGTCTGGATGTGAACTTAATCCACACTGGGAACTACAGATACACTCCTCAGTCTATCCGGCTATGGTGAGAACAACCAATGCACTTCTCTAGGATCACCAGGAAGATAACAGCGACTGGTTGGCCAGTATTATGAATATGCTACACATTGACAGGATAAACTGCATCAATCGAGCTGTCATTTAACCAGTTGCGGCTAAACAGTACTGGGTATAAATGCTAATTGCATAGGCTTTAGTTTCGTGAAATATTCCTGAAGTCTCTCAAGGATGAAGCGCCTGTACAGTTACTCCCTAATTCTCGGCAGATATCTAATTTTCGCGCAACTTGCAGTGACCACACGGTTGGTGGAATAATGGGCGGTACATGCTTCTCTTCCTTCTCCCTTACTCTAGACGCCGCAATTCAGCTACCATATTCTTTAAAATCCATTTACTTTCTTAACTGACATCATTTTATGCTAAAACGTTGACAAACACACTCCGTCTGTTTCATTCTTGTCGATAGTCATCAGCATTGCGCATCACTTATAAGTCTAGGAATGCATCGCATTCCAAATGAACTATCACTGGGTGGAGGGTTAATAAGCACAGCTCTAAGATAACGGAAAATGTGACTTATTCCCCCAATTTTTTGTGACCAAACACTGAAGAGCTGGCGGAAACTGGTTTCCACTCTTTACAGTCCTCTCATTTGTGTATTTATAAGACAGTAAGAGATAGCAGCGTGTCTTTGGTAACCCAGTTAGTTTTGTTTTCACGTGGCCAGTAGACTGTGTATGGTGAAAGTTCACAATCAACATCGACTTGAAGCTCATCGTCTTCTTACGACCGTCTCCTTCGTACTTTCTCCTACAGGACCTCATGCTTCTCACCATGACCAATTCGGTTTACGCAACGCGCACAGCTGTCATTCCGCTGATGAGTCGTTTGCTTCTTCAGCTTTCCTTATGCAGCATAGCAAGGTTGCTGGACCAGGTAATAGAAGTAAGTGCGAAATTTCCCTTCAACGGATTATGATCGACTCCTTGCGCACGTGCTTACACTAAGTATACATTGCTTGTTCCTCTTGAAATGAAGAGCTTACCCGAAAGCGGACAGTGGTATTCCATTTAACCCTCTGTAAGAGATCGCTTTTGAAGTAAAGTACATTCCAAATGGTAGACGACCTAACAATGAAAGGAAACGTTTGGTGCTTTCTTCCATGCCTATCCACCTTCTATGGTAGGCGTTGCGCGTTTCCGTGACATTTCGCCACCAGGGAAAATGTGTCAACATTCGGGCTAGATCGGATGCTTTATAAGGTTTACATGTGTCTACGTGCAGCTTATTAAACCGATGACTCTTAACATGCAACATGATAGCGCTATTCCTAGTTTTGAAGCGAAGCTTTCCACAACCCTATAATTCGATGGAGAATGCTTGTGTCTCAAATTGTTCGACCAATGGTCACAGATCTAGACAGCATCATCCGTGGACTGTTGTGTTTTGTAGCTGTGCTTCGGCGTGTGGTTTGCATGAATCTATCTGCCTCGAAGACTGAGTGGATGTGGATTGTGTTTGGTTGGTCCGGTGGGTGGCCCATCGTTCGGTACTATAGCTTCTCTTCCCATTAGTTGGTCACCATATTTTCATCACTACAGGAAAAAAGATTGATGTAGCTCACGCCATACCGTAATAGACAACAGATAAACAGTCCTCTTACCTTTTTCTTGATGTGCTATTCTGTAAGATTATCCGTCCTTGGGTCTGGATGTCCTCAGTATTTATTTCAAGTGGTAGCAGCTCCCATGAATCCGAGGATTCGCGGCTAGTCAGCATAACCTTGCTTGATTTGTAGCCGCACTTTATTCAGAATGAATGGGTGATCTTCCTAGCTCTTGCGAATGAAAGTTAAAGGGATCTGATCAAGCCTTCCTAGGACGGCTTCCACTTACGTAGGAAGTTTGCTTCCAGTGTGCTCAAAATAGGAGGTGCTGATTGCTTTGCAGTTTGTTTTATGGTTTGGTTTAGTTAACTTTCTGAAGTTCTCTTGGGCAGTCATATTCTTCAAGGCAGCACTCGGCGTGTGAGATATCGTGTTACAAACGGGTATAATAATGTCCATGAAAGACTATTTGTGCTATTACTGTTTGTATAGTGAATTGTATATTGTCGTTCCCTTCATCCAGATGTTCAATCGGCAGGAGGTTAAGCGATGGGAAGAAGCAGAAGGTCTTTTGAATGGTAAGCACTCTTGAGTGACTTCAGCTGGCCAATTTCACATGCTGTGAATATGGAAAAATGCAGAATAATTATTCCTGATCAACTCAATGTTATACGGTGCGATTTCAGGACCACTTCTAAGAAAATGGAAGAGGCGAGCCTGTTCACGTTTATGCTACATGATCGGTTCCCCCAACGTCTTGAACGATGACCCATTGCTTCTTCGTTGGATGTAGACTCACGATTTCCAGCGATTACCAAAGCATAGACCTGATACTGCTAATAGTGATCTATATAAATATGTTATGAGTGAACAGTGGTCGATTTGTTTGCTGAGCTGGTAAATTTGACAGTAAGCGTTTCGTCACCACCTGAGATGACATTATTACTGCGGTTTCAGGGGGCGGATTGAAGCACAACGATGCGTGATTGGTTGAGCTTTCACTGCTGATGGCCGGGGCTGACCTTCAATTAACTCTGACCACTCGATCGGGTGGTTTTATGGGTTGGTTCGTCAAACTGTGTCCAGATTGGTTGGGTGTCACCTCACTTGTGAGCTTAGTATCATTTTCTGTCATCAGCTGGTCAGTGCAAGAGTGAGAATTCTGAGGAACATAATGCGTCTCTTGCTTTCTGTTAATTGAGTAGACGCGGTAAGACCACCTACCTGGCCTTCCACTGTTAATTTTAATAAAACATTTTTTTTAAATTCCGAAGACATCTACCGTTATTTCGACACGGTTTCGGTGACTATTGCATACTCCGGTAACAAGTGCCCCCCCTTAATTTCAAGGCAAATAATATCGTCCTCCCTCTACCTCCGCATGCTAAATGCGAAGTGTGGCACAAAATTCGATGAAGAAAAATGTGCAACTATTTGAGATGAGGCTCAGCCTTAGCTTCTTTTTAGACGCTTCTGAAATTATTGCTTCATTTTTTGTCTACAGAGGACTTTGAAGTCGATAGTGATGAGAATTTCAATGCACCAAGAATTCTAACTTTTTGGGAACCTGAGAAACAACACTTTACGGGGGAGCAAACAAAATATTGATGTAGAAGATACTTTTGAATGATTTCGAATAAGTACCTCCGTAGGCATAACGCGACGCCATTAGTTGTTCCAGTCTAGTGCTTTATTTCTGGCGTGACAGATGCTGTTAAATCATTTATTTCTGGGACCGCTGACAAGTTTGTCTTGTCATTTCTCCCCCTCCTAGCACTTGGTCTACTAATCAAGAGAGCAGTCCCACTCCCATTGTCTTCTGAGGAGGCGCCCTCAAATTTGACGTTAAATAGCACAACTGGGCCAGCTACAACCATGTCTTCCGTGAGTTATTTTTCGCTTTATATTCAGTGTTTCAGTGGGAATTACATTAAACAAGTATCTCTTGAGCTAAATTTTAAAACACGTGATATTTGTGATTGAGAATACACACTGCAGGAAATAAATTTAGCCCATTATTAGGTTTTCCAAATACGGCCCAGACTCTTGCGGTGCGATAACCTATGTGCTCTTGAAATATCCCCTAGGAGCGATCCCCGGAATTATATGTGCACCCAGATTGCTGGACTAGCAAAAAAGCCAACAATCTGGGGGGAACGTAAACGAATGCGAACTATGGAAACCAGGAAGCTCAATTATTTTAACAAAAAGTTTTGTTCAGACGACGTTCTATGGATAAACGTTCAAGCAGCCATATTCACCTATCCACGAAGCAGTAGGCTGAGAGGATCCAGATATATTTTATAAATGTGATAAGATGCCTAGGGTTTGGGTTAATCAGAGATAAACTAAATTTCATAGTGGCGTAGAACGGGTCAACAGATTTTAGCCATGTACGCGTGTTAAGAATATATTATTACGCAAAAAGACCTATCTTGCCAAAAACGAATAATGGAAGTCAATGGGACCTAGAATAAATCCATCTATAACACAAACTGAAAGCTCATAACAGCTTGTAAAACTGAGTTTTAATGGTGGCTTCCGAGTTTCCTTTGCAATGAATCTTCATTTGGGTTTGCTGTTGGCAACCGTGGCTGAGGCATTTTTTTATCAAAATGCAGCCTCCTTAACTTCATGTGAGGAAGATGCATCTCATGATAAGATTCTTTAAGCCAGCCTAGTTGATTTTTAAGACTGAGATACCGTTTACACAAATAAAAGACACATAAGTTGCGGTACCAATTGATAGGTCAAATCTCGAAAGATTGACGCTTACCATTTTATTCCAATTGCAGGAGACCTATGAAACCCAGGTGCTACCACAGATTAAGCTTTTGGTCTTCAACCTGTTCGATCACGACCATCCTTCTGTTCGCATAGGTGCTGTCCACCTCTATATCACATGCTTGAAACGCTGCCCATATCCGGTGAGTGACACAAATTTGCCTTGCTGATGGTCGGAAAGACGGACTATGGTGAAGTATGAAGTTATCGTATTATCATACTACTGACCAGGTAACAGTAGCTGAAACTGGAATTCCTGTGTACATCCATTATCGCCCTATAAATCCGTTGAAAACTATGCACCAAGTGAAACATAAGTTTGACGGAAACTCGGGGCCTGCGCCTACCTGATGAGCCCCAAGGAGGGCGAAACTGGTCCTGAGCTGTCGAAGAGTTTTCAGCAACGTTGTGAGTAGTTTCCCTCATGGAAATGCGCCACTAAATTCTCAATAAAACTCTTATTATTCGAATGAATAAATTTTTTACGGGAAAGTTTGTCCTGTTCCCACCTAAAACTAACGCCTGCTCTCTGTATCTATTTTTGCAATCGCCTGGTGTTAGTGTGTCTTTGCATGTTGTCATGGCTTGATGAAAATTCAGTCCTTGCCGAGACACTTGCAGCTGAGAAATTTGTTAACCCCTTCCCATCTATTTTTGCCCACGCTAGCTGATAGAGAAGGCCCTCGATGAAATTATGAACGAGGTGTGCATCAACAAAGAATCTGACTCGCCCCTTCCAGTGGAAGATCTAGTGAGTTTCACTATAAGTTGCCTTCAGATTCATCTGAACTATTTCCTTGAGATTTGGTGAAAAAGACCCTGATTCAGCTTACCATGCCATCAAAAATTATGAGTCACATAATCTGACCTATTCTTTCGCAACAGTATAGACGCTTCTTTTATTTGGTTCGGTCCATATGAATGCCTTTCGGTGTCTTTTACTTTTGTTTTCCAGGGGCCATCCCTTAGTGCTCACGCCACCGAGAGTCTTCTGTCGCTGTGTCAATCCTTATTGAAGGTAGGCATGTCCCGTGTGGTTTCACACCCCCTACCGGACTTTGTTTGACCTTTCTAATGACCTTACAAACAACTTAATTCCAATTTTGATTGCCTTACTCACGGTTGGAACCAATTATATGGACTTTTCACAAGCACAAAGTCCTATAAAAGTTTCACAGATCATGCAGCCATCTAACACAAGACGGCAACTCCACCATCTCTCGAAGGAAGCTCATGCAAAGTTTCAGCGCTAAACGTGTGAAGTACTTTTTTAAAAAAATCTTTATCCATGATTGATAGAGGTCACCTGATAATGGATAAACTTGAGTGTAGTAAAGAGGAAATTTTGTTGTTTGCAATTAAACAAAGACAAAGTCGATGCTGCAAAAACGTCACAGTCGAGGTACTGCACAGTTTGCAATCGGAACTCCATTCGTCATAATTTGAAGATCGGCTCAGCAAATACTGAATGTTTGCTCTAGATAGGATGGCATTACACACAGTTTAAAAGTCAAACATGCTGCCTTATTATTAAACTGACGAGGGTCACAGAGTTTTCGACTGTTGCTTGAGGTTTCCTACCTCAAAGAGGCTGGCCTTCGTGGGTAAACATCCCTGGCTGGTATTGAAAAGCCAACATCGCATTTTGGTTTCTCGAAAGACTACCCTAAAATATAATCACAAGGTAACTTAGTCGGGTCCATATAACCTTATACAACAGTAGTTCTAAAACTCATGCATTTTGAATAAGATTGCGGCCTTCTGGTGAATCACAACAGAATTATTTGATTGTGAAACTTGATAGTAAATTTGTACTCTCTTGTGAATACTTGTCGACCTAGTTATAGGTGAGGTTAATTCGGAGTAGACATCGAACCACCGATAAAGTACAAGCATCGGGTTGGAATTTCAAGAGGATTTCTAGTGGGAAGCAAATGCCGCATCCTGGAAAAGTGAGCCACATGATGTCACCCTCCTTGCGTATTATTATTACTGGGACTAGTTAGGTGATTAATGCAAACGATGGGGTCATGTGACCGATCCAGTACAGTTTGTTGACAACATTGCCTGCTGGAATTACACTTGCGCCGACCACCATTCACTTAAACTCTTCCGGGTATCATACTATGCTGTGTCAGATACTTTCAAAGTTAGATACACCTCGTGTCGACAAAGCTGTTAACCGGTTTACTGCTATCCGTCTCACTGGGACAACCAGAATACATGGTAGAGATTCAGATTACCTCCATCCAATTTTCACAGATAAAGGATTGAAGCAATAGACCTTGAATGCTTTGCGGATGTGACTATAATCTTTTGAATGTTCTGACGAAATGAACCGTGGGCGCCCAATTTTTCAAGTTTCATCTACACCTCCGTGTACAGTTTGTATTACGAATGGAGAGATTCATGCAACTTTCAAAAACGTAGAGTCACAATCCCAAGATGCCATTAACAACAGAAGATAACGACTCCCCAATTTGAGTATTGACTCATGAGTGACTGACTCCATAGGGTTTCTATAGCAAACACTCCGGAATATGTGATAATTTTACAGCCATTTGCCCTATCATTTATGTCAGCTCTCTTTATAACCATCTGACCAATAATTATGCCACCGTGAACGCATTTCTCGCGGCCGAATAGGGGAACTAAGTGGTTTAGTCTGTAGACATCTTTCTCCATTTGCTTGTTAAAGCATGAAACAAGTGCGACGCTTGGCTGGCTATAGCAAGAAAAAGGACAGTACGCGTCCAAGATGCAACCGATAGTTTTACAAAATGCTGCCAAATTTTCCCATCAGAAGTAGGCTGGTGAGCTCAAAAGATAGGGGAATACGTCTTACTGAGATGACGTACAGCTATTGCTTATTGCTTGTAACAATGGTCGATAACAGTACTTGAATGTAAAGCAAAGTATCAAGGCAGACAACGTGAAATATTTCATGAGCTTGGGTATATCCTTCCACCGATATTCGTTCGACTGGCTGATGCATGTCAAACGTGTAAAATAACGGCTTAGGTTTTTCCGATGGACTAACTATCATGTTTGGTTGTGCTTACAAATCCTGTTGTAAAGTGATTCCCATATATCATAATGAATTGCACTTGTTTGCACTCATTTAAATTTCCATTCATGGAAGAAGACATTTCAAATAATTATATTGTCTCATTATTCCATTGCCATTCAAGTACTACTTCATGCTTACTGACGTAAGCGTTGCTGCGAATTTTCTTGAGTTGCACTTTTCGTGAACTCATATGATTTTGAACATTAGTTAACCAGCACCGCATTATTGCTCCTTCTGTTTCTGCTGCACCCACCCAGAGTGCAAAACCACCTACTTTGTCACATAGAAAACTGCTATGGGAACGACACACAGTACGTTAAATCCTACCCAGCGTTTGCTTCTCCCCTAACTAGAGACCAAGGATGTCATGAGAGGCGTCTGCGCGTGACGCAGTCACTTAACTCAGTTAACCTTTGACATGGAGCCTTGCAGATCTGTTGGTTGTTATGCATATATCTCTCTTTGGTAATTTGCCCTGCAAACGGGAGCAGCGGGTTCGTCTTTCATTGCCAAACACTTTAAGGGTTAATGTGAAAACAATAAAATTAAGTACTCAACAGAGGGCATCTTTGTTTGTAAGGGATCTGAGATAAAATGTCCCACTTGCCACGACGGCCAAGATTAGGACTGGGTTGCACATCATGAGTTCAGACGGACTATAATTTTGTTCCTTAGTTTAGTCTAACGAAGTATACTGTTGTTTAACCAAATAAGCAAATGATCTCATATTTTAATTTGGTGTTTAGTAGAAACTCACCCTGCACAATCTCATCCTTGTGAATAACACCCAGATACTTATCCCAGTGTATTACTCTGTCGTCATCTTAGGGTTTCCCTTTTTTCCACACAAGCGAGCAGGTGGGATGAAATTGCCCCCATCTACCGGAAGATTACAGAATAATCTCACACAAACTTATCTGGGGCATCCAGACCCAAACGTTCGGATGGCCGCGTGCCAAGTTTACGAAACCCTCAGTAAGTTATCGTTTAGCACGAAACGTTTCCTAGTATGACTTTGAAAAAAAACTGAATAACTCATGTAAAAGCGTCGGGTTATTTTTCGCACGTAGGTGATATCTTCAGTCACTGACTGAAGTACAAAACATATCGGTACAACCTGAAAACTGCCGGAAACGTGTTTGCTTTGATGAAATGCTCTCTCGTTTGATAGATTCAAGAAAGTTCAGCAGTATGTCATGAATTTCGTTCTTAAAGCTGATAATAGTGTGTCGAATCATCTCAAATGTCCTAATTCGACATGCTGAGTCAGCTACTGGTCCAAAATATGTGACAGTTATTTCGTGTGTCGAGGCAGTCAGAGTTCGTTCCTTCAATATGCCTCATACAGCATATGTAAGGTTCGGTAAGGCTCAGGTCAACTGCTGCAAAACACGCGGTGCCAGTCACTAAGCAGTGCACACTTACTGAATATGTGCATTCCGAGGTCAAATTTTGGCGGGCATAAACGGCACCAGATCATTCGCAACCCTTCTCGCAATATATAAGACTTCAGCCATTAGGTTGTAATACAAAATTTTGGCGGCAATCCCAGGCTAATGACAACTCCACAGTTAAATCCCTGCTTTGTTAGTCCTGTAACCCGCATGGGAGTTTGAGAGATAACGTAAATCTGTTAGTGATCGAGTTGTAACGTAATGAAGGTGATTATCAGAAGGTAACAAGCACTAAAAAATGTCTGTTTTACCAGAATGATGATGAATACAACAGTTAGGTGCACTTCGTAAAAATAGATACAATGCTAAAAGTGGAATGAGCCAAGTGGCGATTGATCGTTTGAAGAAAACTGTTGAGAGTTCCTGAGTGAAGTTCCTGACACGGGACGAGTCTTCTAAGCAGTATAGCTGCTACACGTGTTCCGTAGTTAGCCGTGGAGACTTGTGAAGCTCGGCTGACTTCCTGTTTTTTGTGTGTGAGAGATATGGGTTGAGTTCTATGCCTGTTTATTGCGTGCGGTGTGAAGAGAGGGCAATCCCTTCGTGCACGAACACGAGTACAACTTGACCTGATGTGTTGCAGTTCATGAGCCTGGCGCGTAACGCAGGTGGTAGCCGCGTAAACAAAAATGGATGGGAAGTTGTTTGCTAAGGTTGCAAGTGGGACAGGAATTGTCACGTGGTTTGAGTGTTTGTGACGCGTGATCTAGTCAGTGACCGCTATAAACCAGTGACTAGCAAACCCCTTAGAATTAAAACACTGCTCATGCAGGTTGAGGGATGACTCAATCATTGCTTTGAATTATTTTGAGTACCTTAGAAGTACACTGAAAGTTGTTAGGAATGCTGGTGTATTGTGGTATCTTGACCAGAGTAACCGCAACCCAACTGTTGATTGCAAACAAATCACGCCTGTACACGATACTATTTATATCACATCCGTCCTGATTCTTAGACTACAGCGACGTGTTTCAAAGTGTGGGCATCAATTGAAGTAAAATGCGTTGTGTATACCCCCGTCTTCACAGAAACTAACGAAAAATCAGGTCGTAAATGTTATTTTCACACTGTGGTGTGTTTAGAATTGATCGCTATAACGGAAAATTAATTATTCCAAATGAGTACGGGTGGCCTCCAGGGTTTTATAGAATACACATTTGTGCCTCTTTCCAAGGTAACATGAAATAGCATGTACGGAAGGCACGCTGAGAAGAGCATTTTAAAAATATGGTTTGTCAGAAAGGCGTTATCGCTGTGAACAGAACGGACATAGGTTGTCTCAAACGCTGAGGGAACTAAATGACCAGATCATATCAGAGCTCATTCATTTGAAAACTTGTGGGAGCAACATACGTTGTTTGAATATTTTAAGTCGGCAAACAGTAGAAATCGGTGACTTATCAAGCGACCCATCGATTTGGCGTCCTCTATCCGGATGTCCTCTGAGACATGGGCTCTTGCTGTGCAAAATTCACATTCGAATGAACCACAACGCGCCATGAGATAGGAAGTAAGGTGATGACATTTCACTTACATTCTGTCAAATTTTGAAGTAGGCTATTGAACAGATATACTGAGAGGGTTGAGTGAAGTTGGATGGACGAGTGGTGTGTAAGTGTACGGCAGTCTGAGACAAGCATTTCTGATTTTTAGAATGGGGTAGTGGATCATCCGGACAAAACACGTCATGAATCAATCCACACGTACGGAAAAATGAATCGGACTGGCCCACTAACTCTTCTGTTCACGCAGCTTGACTGATTGTCACTTAGGACGGAAAGCACTCACCAGACAGATGAAGTGGATCCGATGTTGCGATATTTAACCTGCCATTTTGAAATATGTTATATATATCTATTTGTTATATGTCTCGAGTGATCACAAATCGTACTGAACCTAGCAGATTAAGGGATGTATTTAACATTCAAGGTCAACTGACGGACATGCAAGTGCACTCACAAGGCAAGGCACGAAACTTGAAGGCAATTTGAACAAAGCATGGCGTATTTGACAGCACCGTACAAAAGTCGTGTTACAATCAAAAGGCCGGTCAAGAACCAGCCTAGGGATGGTAGTAGTCTGGACCGGCAGGCACCTGGAAATCAGCCGAACCCATCCGCAATCATTTGCCTGTGTTCTGTCCTGTGAGTACTCACCTAACCAACCGGAAAATCTGCCGAACAACTGAAAAGTTGACAGTGATTACGACTGCCTGACCATATGTGCCAATCTTTTAAATTTTTCTTTTCCAATATGGGAATTTGATTCTAAGGGTGAAATGTAAACTCGTCTGGTACACAATCCAAAACTGCCGAATCATTCAACACCAATTATTGTTTTAGAAGAGTGAAGTTATTTCCTTCTTTATGCGCATTCTCCTGAGGTCGTTTCCAAAACCCCACAAGACGGCTAGAAACGGAGCGACTGGTCTCAGGTTTCAATAATTACACGTTAAAAGTGCACACGAGCTACTCAGCACTTTTACGCAGACGAATATTAATGGAAAATTCACGGGGTGATTTCGAGGAGCTTGGTGTATTATTCTAGTAAACTTTTTCACTCAAATCTAACTTGTCTGACAGAAGATGTTCAGCTATCCAGATGAAACATTTAATCGTTACATATGTCGATGTCATCCGCGATGGTGTGAATTTACCCGTTGCATGCTCTGTCCCGATGGCCCCCAAATCGTTGAAAACACTACTCACGCTGCTGTCCAGTTTCACGCGACACTCATCTACTCAGATTTATCCTCTTCAATGTAAGTGCAGTTTCATCAACTCACTTTCTAGCTCACGGCAAGGTGTGTTTTAGCCGAATGTTAATTTCACACAGTAAGAGCCCATGACTCAGTTTGATTTCCTAATCGAGTGTGCCAATGTAATGGGTAAATCGTTTAATAAGTAAACGTAGCATGCTGTTCGTTGTCAAAGCTCCATAACATAATGCTTATATATGCCGAAAAATTTACGTCGCGAAACCGCTTTCAAACCGAAGCTGTTTGAAAGCAATAATTTCTCTCCTAAACCCGTTACGTTTCTTTATGACTAAACGGGGGGACCCCGTACATAATTTTGTGGAAAGCCTACTGCCAACATTCCTTGTGCCCCCTCATTAACAACTGTAGTTATCAGCGCGTTGGAAAATCTCAATCGAGTGCGATATCTGCTAAAGAAAATACTGGAGAACTGGCCAATAAGACAAGACATTCTGCTGAGTCCAGTACAAAGAACCATTACTTTGATAAACGGCGGAAAAGGAAAAAGTAAGTCTGTATGTTACCCACAACTTCAAGCAATCATTTTGGCGTATATGACATGTGTAAAACATGTGTATGTTTGTATACCATACATGTATATATATGTGTGAAAGTATGACCTGAATGAAATAGCTTTTTTTGGTTCACGGATGGGAAGGAAGCTTGATCTAACGCACCACGAAAGTGGGTCAAAGCTTAGTTTATTCAAAACCCCAATAAATGGTCAACATTCTCATCCGTACTATCCTAATCATCTTAGACAGCGTTCTTGTCACTGAATACTGATACTAGACTGTCTAGTTTTGCAAAGCCTACGAAATAAGCGAGACAGTGCTTAGCTAGTGTAATTCTATTGGAGTCTGTCGTAGTATCGATTTTTTGATCACTCGGACACTTTCGATGGAAAATGAAAGTCGCAACTTTGGCATTAACGGGAGACTCAGATGATTCTCTGAGCGTGCTGCGTAGAGACCTCTCCATGTTTTCATTAATGTGATGTTTGAGGCGTCCCACTATAGTTTGTTGATATGACTCAGCTAAAAACTACGTGGCAGAGCACTACCAGCGTTTCTGTCCTTGGTAGGTGGGTCAACATTCCTGCAGTCTTTTTTACTTTACCACCATCAACAACTGGGCAAAGCACGACATATATATCACCTTCGTCTCAAATTTGACCTGCTCCGTATTGAGTACATCTGGTCACTGCACAGCGCAGTATAAACTAGATATCTACATATTCATACGATTTATCAAAGGGCTTTCGATAATCGACTAAAGCCATCGGATTGATATTTATTAGAGCGAACCCAAATCCAAACTGAAACGAGTGTACCAGCTTTTCATCAACACAGATCTCATTGAAAATGGGGAAATCATTCTCGTGATCCTTTACTAGTGTTTCTGATCAGTCCTCTAAAAAAGTAGTCATTCTAAGGAGAGTTCACTTTTCCAGGTGATCTTTCTCTAGCGATTGCCTCATGCAATGACGTCTTCCAGGACCTCCAAATATCGACCGATGTATTAGTACTCAACACGTCTGATACCTACCCATGTGATTCCGATTTGCTTTTAACTGCATTTTGAATTGTGTTGTAAACCAAAAAACACCATACTCAATTCCCCCCATAACCGAAATTTACTGTCCTATCAGCTCCAAGTCAAGTAATGGTACCCGATCAAGTGGCTACCTGGCGTGAGGGTCGCCTCATGATTTTTGAACGTGTGTGTCACGTGCTTATTCAGCGCCACTACGCTGTGCTGTTCAACGTTCTAGTGCGAAACCCAGACGGTGATCTTTCCTCGGAGGACACTGCTAACGTCGATGGTAGGTGCTTTCTAGACTTGAGACAGATGATATTGCGCTCAGGTTGTTTCAGTCACTTTTTTCGCAAAATAACCTATTAATATCTACTACGTTTGGGATTCTAGTGGACCTGGGCTACAGGTACATTCCGAAAAGGGATACCGGTTTTCAGTTGCTTTGTACATTGGTGAAACGCTAACTTTCGAGTATTTCTTAAGGTATCTTTTACGGTGAAATTTAATTCCATTCATGCCGCATAGAAATCTATTGAAACGTTGCGGATTATTTTGTTACAAATCTTCGAAATCACATTTTTCGCGCGGCTCATGAAGTGGATCACTGTCAACTCGAGTGTGCTCGTATTGGTTGATGCTGAAGACTATCGTCAAACCTGGGTGGTGCCCTAACCACAAATGGAAGGAAACTTTTGTCTGAGAAAAGATCACTGAAGGAGCCCGTCAACATGTAATCACGTGAGGTGAATTCCATAGCTGAGGTATAAGCGTTGCTATACGCTGTCTCGCGGTGAGTTAGGCGCAATGCCGATCGATCCCTTGTGGTCAAAATGTTTGCTCTTCATCTACATCCCTAGAAGCGACGGATTTGAATCATCCTGAAGATTCGTGGTATACTAACTGATGACGATTCACAAAAAACACCCGGTTTTTCAGCATAGACAGATCACTTGCCGGACGAAATCTTCACCACAAGTACCGTCGTCCAACTCGCGAACGGCTTCCAGTTACATCTTAATACCCTTTTAAAGGAAGACTAAACCGAATGCGAACACGATCTCCCATGTATAAGGTTTTTCTACAGTTAAATTTGCTACGCAAGGCTATTTCATGCTTTAGTTGTTACGATATCCTAGATATCGCAGTAGATTTTCTATATAGAGGGCAATACGCATCAGTTTGCTTAAAATAATTTGCTTTTCTTGGAGCTTAGCAAGTAGGCGCATCAACATGTTCTGAATAAGCCGAATGTAGTAAATGTGCTGCGCAAAGTACGGTTGGGATATCACAGTAAACTCCCTAGGTGCAACACAATACTCACAGGATGGCGTGCATTTTAGATTCAAGTAGGACATGCACCTGATGGAAACTCGGGGACTGTGTCAATCTGAAGCACACAAAGAACAACACAATGGTCATGGACTGTCGGGGATTTTTCAGCAACCTAATAAGTATTTTGTCTCAGCTTCACATTTTCACACACGATCCAGAGAGTTGGTAGTCCTTGATGAAGTCGAGGACTCCCGTCGATGTTCAACTCGAGCAGATTAGTTTAGGCAAGCGCTACACAAAAGTTTCGGCTGGCCGGACCACTTCGTTTCGTCCCAAGTATTTTTGCGGAAGGGCTAATAGCTCTTGCGAGTAATTTATTGAATATTAATGAGACCTCTTTCATTGACGGCTGAGCATTTTGATATCTTCTGTTCTATTCCATGTTTTCCATTCAATATGTCGCTAATGACGCACGTGTGTGCCACATTTTTATTACAGTTATAGCAAACAATTAGGAATCTGGTAGGACGAAATCGCTATTTATCCAGAGGAATTGTTCTCCCTAAAGCGCTGTCAGTACGGCCTCCACATACAGCCAAGCTGGCACCAGAAATGTGGTAGTGGTGTGCTCACACTGTCATCTCACTTTTGCGAATGCTACTTCAGGCGAACTGCGCCAGAGCTTCGTGCAAACACTGACTTTGATCAATCGAAAGAAATGGTGGAAAATGAAGTGCCTTATGTTTTAGAAAGATATTCGAGATTCGAACCCCTTCCCTGTAGAAAGGCCACATTTTGCTTATAATTCTGACGATTATTGAAGACGATATGGCCGTACAATCAGCATGGCTATTCCTGAAAATGAAACACAACAACTGTTTTGCACGACATTTGGTCTTATTTTGCCGTCTGATCAGTTGATTACCACAGACATGAACTTGAAAAACTGACCGTGCCAAATTCTTCTCCGTATTCTCAGAGATACCAAAACGACAAACACAGACGCAGACCTTTATTCCTTCGGCACAGGCACGATTACCTGCGGAATATACCTTTTATATGATGGATTATGCACCATACTTATCCGTTATTTAGACCTTCAGTGTGCGCGTGACTCAAGATCATCATCATTGTCAGATGTAATCACCGCGTGTCCATCGTACAGTGGTTGTAGCTGCCACAGTTTCGCTTACCGATGATTCGGGGAGATGGGGTAGGTAGCTGCGCATTGGAGGCTGATAAATTAGTGCGTAAATACAGCACTTTAGGTGGACTGCTAAGTGAGGGGATTGCGAAGGGATGGATGGATGCTTAAGCACCACTGAGGGCGAGATTGGGCCATGTTTGGGAAAACTACAGAAAAATGCAGCTAAGTTCCATTATTAAAGCGTTCAACTCTATTTACTTCGTTGACGGCACGAATATCTATCGGAAATAAGTTGAATTAGGGCATCAGCTTTTGAATGATCTAAATTCTTATGTGACTAATTCCTTCTGAGCACTCATCGAGAAGCCGTGAACTTTGACTTGCAATGGTTGTGTAGCTACCAAGATAGTCTGATCCTCTTTGGGAATCATCTGGTAGGTGTACGTGCATGAAACCCAACTGAAATTCTTTGGCCCTGCTAATCGGTTGGCAGGCTCATAGTGATGTGGGAAGCCGCCCAACCACAGTATTACAAGTAATATTACAAGCAATTAGTGGACTGCGTTGAAAGACCTTGAATGTCACGGCTTTTCGGACTCTGACAAGAGGAAATCTCAATTTACGGTGGCCATATGAGCTAATAATATATTTCTACGGGTGAACTTACTTGTAGATTTCAACGTTTGTTTCTTTACCAGGGCAACGGCTTTATTCTCCTGTCATCCCTCCAGTCAGGTCACCAGCTGGTCAGCCAAAGCGATCACCACAGCTGGAACAGTCAAGCAATGCTGATTACCGGTGGAACCCGGTTCCAGACGAACCAGCACCACCCAGCTTAACAAGACGTCTGTCGGCCTTACCTGTAAGTGAACTCCCAAGTGAGACATATTTTTAATGGAATTCTAATTTATATTCCTCTTCTGTTTTCTAGTCACTGGAAAACTCTTTGGTGCAATCAAAGTAAGTGGTCGATCTTTTTCCAGCTCATGCTTGTTGTGTACAAAAGATACTAACCTGGTTACTTTCCCTTTTGATCTTGTCCACACTCCTATTGATGGAACCTGTGCAACTGTAACTGTGCTAATGGTAAAGGTACGCGACAGCTGCACGCAACGTGCAAGCTTATCTGAATGAAGTTATAAAGGCTGCAATCAGCCTAGTGTCCACAGGCTATATCAATTTTTTGTGAGCAAACACGTGAGTGACTGTTGAGAGGTGAATTATCCCGGCATAATTACCTTTTGATAGTTGCAACAGGCTTTGATTCGCGGATCAATTGTAAAATGACTGTTAGTGTGAGACATACTTTTTCTGCAATTTAATCCACACCTGTGCTTGTAAAACCTCATGGAATACAGAGCAGTTTGGATGTTAATATTACACCTAACGTGACTATTAAATACAACAAAAGCACCCATACTTATAACATTAGGTCCTTCTGAGAACAGAGTATGGAGCTGTGTTGCTACACCGCTGGGAGCTTTTAGTCCTTACTCTAAATGAGAAAAAAAGTTCATTTCCCTGTTGGCCAGAGTTGAGTGCTGATGACTGATAGTTCGACATTCGGCTCGTTCAACGTTAAATAAGTTCATTAGCACCGTAAGAAGACTTTCACCTAAATGCCGTTTGTCCCTATTTTCCAGTTTGGATAACTTCATGCGAACAAAATTACTTGTTGATAAACCTAAGTTTTGGCACGTTCATTTGAGGCGTTTCTTACAACCGAACTGTGTTCCAGTCAATGAGCGGCTCAGGACTACGGTCCAAAAATTTGTATGACATCTTTGAGAGGTATTTAAAGGTGCTGCCGAACGAAAAATAATACGGAACAACTCAAGTTCTGTTCAGCTTGTAGCTTATTACTGATGGAGCTCTCTGGAACAGGGATTCAGCCGAACTTCACCTCTGTAGGTTAATATGGACAGAAATACCACAAGAAGAGCTGCGTCCAAACCTCGTTCAAGAGGCCGGAGACACTGCAGCACCACAGAACTGTGGAAAAAAGGAAGAAAACCATCTATTCAGAGTATTCCAGTACAATGGATATCCAAGGAGTTTTATCAAAAGAAGCTTGAAGAAGACACCTCAACTACGGCAACAGCAAGAACAAGCTAACAGACGGGTAGTCCTGCCTTACATCAAGAATACATTAGAACTCGCAACCAGATTATTGGCTCAAAAAGGGATCATCGTGGCCCAAAACCTGAATGCCACCCTGAGGAAATTAATCTCTAGACCGAAGGACAACCCAGACAAAACCAAGAAGAACAATGTGATATACCAACTCAACTGAAACAACTACAACAAATTCTACGTCGGACAAACTGAGAGGAGACTATGCACACGAATAAAGGAACACAACGAGGCCGTCAGTAGGCATGACCCGCTGTCCTTGATATCCATACACGAGGACTAGGAAGGCCACAGCTTCAACTTGGAAAACGCAAAAATTTTGGCATACGGAGGCATGAGACACGGAAGAGAATTTCTGGAAGCATGGTACTTCACGGCAAATTCGATCAACAGGTGCATCGAACTAGGTCCAATTTACGCATCCTTCAGTGCAAAAGACCAACAACACTCAAGATCACCGAATGTTGGACTCACAAACAACGAAACAGGGGACTCCTTTGAGGCAAATCAATAAAGGTCACAACCAGGTACTCGAAAGGACAAAGGTCACTCTGGCATCGACCAGATTACGACGGCAGGGGATGCCAAGCTCAAAGGTCACGTGGGCATCGGCGATTAGGGGCACAGGTCAACGGAGCAACCAATGGAATCGCCCGACCAAACAGCTAATCGTGATCAAAGGTCATCCCCTGCTAGCAGCATGTTAATAACACACGCAAAACACTACCCAACGCACAACCACCAACCCACCTCTACGCACTACTAAGCTCCACGATAACGCACTGATGATGTCACCTCGATTGGTGATGAAACGTTTGCAATCGAATTGCCCAGCTCAGCGAAAAAGCCAACGACCACCGTCTACGCTACCTGAGCTACCGACATTGGCTAGCTATTGTCATCAAGTTAAACTACATGAAAATCTCAGCTAATCAGTCTGTGGGCCAACAAAGGCAGGAAGCAATGAGGTGACACACTGAAAGATATAATCAACCTGATGATCCTGAAAATGTATGGAGGTAAGATGCTGAAAGTGTCCAAACCACATAACCCTGTAAACGAGAACAGAAATCATGTTTCATCTATCATGGTTTGTATTGGTGCTGCAGTCGAAGGATAAAAGACCATTCACAATATCGACATTTTGCCAAACATTCTCACAACTAACCATAATTAGAAAAACAACGCTGGCTTATTTTGAGTAAATTTATCATAAAATATTTCTCCTACTTCAGGATGTCGCTTCTACACTTGTGTGTTGAGCAAAAAATTCTAGCGAAGGGTTAGGGTTTTACGCGCGAAACATCTACAGGTTGCTGAAAACTCTTCGACAGCCAACGACCGATTTCAATTGAAGAATATCATAAACGAGAGATTCAGTTGAGTCTCTTTCGTGAAAACCCAGTTGATATGCAAATGAGTGTACTTGTCGAGATCTGTCCAATTTGGATTCAAGTAGAACATAAGGTTGACGAAAACTCGAAGACTGCGCCTACCTGATGAACCGCAAGAAGAACGAAATCGGTCATGTGCTGTCGAAGAGTTTTCAGCAACCCACCCCTGTGATTCCTTTAGAAAAATGGGGAATCTTTTCGATTTGTTCCACAAGGCGACGTGTTCTTGCATAATCATTTTGCTGCCAAGTAGTGTATATACCTGGATTGGGATGCTTTGGCTAAGTGATTCAACATGTATAATCTGCTGTTGATCTGCAGGCTGTGGACCGGGTGGGCGCATGTACAACTACTCCCAAACCTGAAGGAAACTACTCACAAGATTGCTGAAAACTCTTTGATAGCCTTTGACCGGTTCAGTTGAGTTGTTCCTCATCGTCAACTTAGTTTAGTTTTCGAGCTGTTTGGTAGAAACCTGCGGACCGAATCCACCCAACAGCCTTGTCGTATGCTGCCGAAGGCTCTTCAGTAATTGATGTCTGGCGTATTCCGTCAGCCATTCTACTCACAAGCTGAAAACTCTTTGATAGCCTTTGACCAGTTCAGTTGAGTTGTTCCTCATCGTCAACTTAGTTTAGTTTTCGAGCTGTTTGATAGAAACCTGCGGACCGAATCCACCCAACAGCCTTGTCGTATGCTGCCGAAGGCTCTTCAGTAATTGATGTCTGGCGTATTCCGTCAGCCATTTGCAGTGAAGTTTATCTTTTATTCCGGAGTAGGATGGATAAAAAATGACTGGGTTGCCGCTTCTTCCTAAATGTAACAGGATTACAACTGTCTGCACCGGTTTTCAGCATGGAACTGAAGAGTTCGCCTGCTGCTTTTCAGTGCTGAGACAAAAAGCAAAAGAAAATTTAGTCGTGGGTTCCTCGCATAACTCCCTTTACTGAAATTTCAGGCATAGCGGACAAACGCGATTTCGAGGATTCGGAAGTAGGAAAAACACCGAAGCGTTGGAATCTATCTTGGATCGACTTAGGAAGTCGGATGAACATGAAAAGGTAAAGAACTTTTTCTGGTGAAATAAAACGGTTACTAAATACCAAACAAATTGTTTCCCACTTGAATCAAAGTGGCTTTTTGGAACATGTGGATTATCGCTGCTGAACTATTAAGAAATCGTTGATTAGAAGCGCTCATTCAAAAATCGAGTCATCTACACTGCCACTACCTTTTATGGTTGAGCCAGACTCACTTCTATTTCCCAGAAGAAAAAATGTACTCGAGAAGATCATGACTTTGTTATTTCCTTGGGCAAGTAATTTATGTTTACAAACTTAGCCTTTGTAGAAAACGCAGCCTTTGACTGTCGGGAGAACTGGTAATGCCTAAGAACTCCCCAAGGAAAAAATCCCACGAAAAACATTTTAAGGAAAACAGTCTGCAGTGTGGCATATCTCCGTTGGAATCTCCGTTGCCAAAAACGATTTCATGGAGATGGCTGAAAAAGCTCCCATGTATGCAGAATTGGTTGACAACTGCAGACTCTCCTTGTCAATAGCTTGAAACAACTCGGAAGGAACTGGGTTCACCTGTCAGTCGTCACCTACATTTTCAAGCCTTGTATTGTTCGTTTACCGTGGTAGTGAGCTGCCGAGTTGTTTACGGATTGTATCCTTTCAACATTAAAGGTGTCCGCGATTCACTCGAATGCAGGCGCAATCGATTTCGTGTTAGAAGGCAGGAACTCGTAGTGGCTAACGAGATCATACGAACCAACAATAGAGCGTAATGTTTTTCCCCTTTTTTTAAACAAATGTTATCGCTTACTAGATCAGTCGAACTCTGTCGCTGTTCGTTTAATTCTCCGTCAATCAGTTTTTGGAGCATACTTTCCACTTTTCCTCCTGCAGGCCAAACGAAGCGAAGTCGCAAGAACTAGTGTATGGAGGAGCGAATTCGCGAAGCGCTTTTCTGTTGTCGCATTAAGACAACCATCTACAAAAACTGAAAGCTTGAGTGCACTATCGGAAGTAGAAATGTCGAACATGACCACCATATTCTCTCACGTCCTTCACCTGTCCAGTGAATGTCTAATTTCCGAGCCCCGGGAATTGCGACAATGTGGGCGAACCGTAAGCCCTTACGCTTCCTCGTGTTACTGCGTTTTTATCACGATGGTTAATTGTGTAATGAAATGGCAAACTGCGTTGCTGACTGATGCATGGGAAAGCCTTGTTAGAAGTAACCTGAATGTCTGGAGTAACCCCGATTGTGTTTTATTAGAAATAAAAATTTATCCGTTTAGCTTTCAAAACAGTTACTTTGGTTCAATAAGTAAGACCTAACCAGCGCAATAGGAACGCCAAAGTTTTAAAGGCTAATTAAAATTCGTAGACACCCGCATATCAATTTTCTCCATTTTAGCGCTACTCAAGTTGGCATGCTCCTAAAAATCCTCAGACTAATTCCGTGTTTGATTGAGGAGTTTTCACCAGGTATACAAGTAACATCGTTTCGGGGGCAAACGTAGAGGCACCTGGAATGCGTAAGCAAGAAAGCAGGCAAGTAATCAGATACTTGAGCGAATACTTAACTAGTGGCGCGCTGAACAAATGCCTCGTGATGCCACCTAGTGAACCCGAAGATCAGACTAAGTGAGCCAAGATTTCACCAACTCCAGAGAGGTCCAAACATTTTGTAGGTTTGGTTTCACTGTACTGGTAAACTGTGACAGTGAACAACACTCTGCAGTTGGCCCCTCTGCACCAGTTTAAGCCAGTACACACGTGTGACAAAAGCTGGTTTGGTAGAACGCCGTCGAAAAAGTGGTCGCCCAACCTGGTTGACTTAAGGTGATTGTTCTTTCCTGTTTTCATCACATCTTGGCACCAGCCGAAACAAGGGCCGTCCTCAAAATAATCCGTATGGGCTTGGTCGAGGGAAGACTGCTGGTGGCAATTAGTCCTAACAGGAGTCACATCAAATTTTGCGGATGGCATGTCTTGTCACAAGCATAAAAGCGTGTCTGCGAGATTAAAGCAATTGCTTGCTGTTCAGATTGCATTCGCACACTGAAAGACTTGTTCGGAAGCTATATCGCTGTTACACGCTTCGTTTCGTCACTCTTCAGCGACTGCTTCTAACCTCAAGTTCGCTTCCGTTTAAATCGTAAGAGACATCAATCCGGTTTTGCATTTGAAAGTTGTCAGGTCTGCTAAGTCGGTTGCAGCACCGCCACAATTAATTCGGCACATCGCAAATTCTAATGAGAATTCTGTGGCGGTTTCTCCGATTGGCAGGTTTACTACCGTCTAAGGGGGAGGAAGCGAATTCCAGTCTCCACATATTGTTTGTCATGGGGATGGATGTTCGTTTAATTGTCGATGCCGAATCAACACCATAGTGGAGGACCTCGCTTCTGATGAAGACTGCGGTGTATGCAGAATGTAGGACCCTTCTTAAGTTAGACCTTGAAGCTGCTGAAGTCGAGTTGAGAGGAGCGTATATAATGATTGAGAGCGATGATGTTCTGTTGGACAGGAACCAACCTTTGACCATGGTTTCAGAAAAACCCTTGCTTCGCCTAGAGACACATAGTCTTCTCTTTTAAACGATATCGTGACTCATTTGAAATATCATTTCAATTAAAGAACAAGGTGTCTGAAGCCACCTACGGCGTCTGCTGAAACTGTTCTTGCTGGACTGGGGCTCATTAAGGTCATGGTCAATGTCCTGTACTTTTTCATTACTTTGGGCTCCCTACGCACGTACAACAGTTTTATGCGCGGTACGTGGTGTTGAGTGTTCTTTCTTGCCAGTGGCTTTCATAACTGACTGCTGATCACTCTCAAATAGGATAGAACAGCTTTACAGCCACACGGGAGTTCAAAGAATATGGGGTGCGCAAACCCAAACAGGAATAAGTGCTACGGCATGAGCGGACATGAACACCCAAATCTTTCATCGGGTTGTCCCAAAGCTCCGTTTCTGTGTCAAGTTATGTGTGTTCCGCCGTCTCATCCTTTATCTCATGTTTGCTTCCCTCGCTTAAACGAATGCTTTGACAGCACGTATGTTTTTAAAGTAATTCTTGATCCCTTTCCTTAGGGTAGCACAGATCGACAATTCACCAGCTCGTGATGACTGACATGCATAAAACGAATTTCGACGGAACAAATCCAAAAATTGTTCGGATTCTGTTGTGGGTTAGACCCTTCATTTGTTCGGTGATGTGGGAGTGAGGCGGGAACCAGTAAAAAGTGCATGTTTGGATAACTGCATCGCAAAGATATTTCCTCATCATCCAACTTCAGCTCGATGCAATGACTAATTCGTGACAGTCACACAATCGGTGTCGAATTTCAAATCAAATGACCTGCTGGGTGTTCACTGTAAATACGATAAATTGCTACAGATTAGGTATTGATAAATGCGCAATAAATGGTTCCACGTTCGTCCAATAAATTTGGTTGAAAAACGCAAAAAATAATGCGTCTTTTTACACCACTCGTTTATTTTCGGACTTTGTGATTTCCACCTCGTGAAAGATTCCAACATAAAACCCAACTACGATAAATTTGAGGGGGTTTTCAAAACTTTACGAAAAATTATGATGGATAGTCTGATGGGGTATTTGAAGGCATTCTTCAAGAGGTCTTTTTACACTGGATGAGGTGGCACATCTGAAAACGGAAGAGAATTTCTATCAGGCGCTGAACACGGGGAAAGCAGTTTAGTGGAGACAGATTGTATGATATGAAGCAGAATGACGATGACAAGTTTATAAGAACGTACTCGCAATATGCCACCATTTGAAACGTGTAGAGTTTCTGGTATGCATTGAAACTTGGAGCCTGTTTGACGGACTTTTAAGCTGCCTACACCATCGGAAAAAAGACTCCTCAAGTACTAGTACCATGTTATTCTGAGGTAACATAGAATACTATAAACCTGCATACTAAAAAAGCAAGCTTGTTTTATGATATGAAACTCGATCTTCTATTTTGGTTTACTGTAGACATTATCTGAGGTCATCCGTCTTCTGCGCTGGTACAACACAGAAATGGTTTCAGAATTCCTAACAAGTAATCTCATACTCCAACCAACTTTAATGACCTACGTGGCCTTGAAAATCCTACGATCCTCCCTTGATGAGTTTGTCCTCTATGACCGACTTGTCTTTTGCAATGAGGACCTTGCACCGATGGACGTAAACGGATTCAACTCTCCGGACTCTCGAAATAAACAAGGGCAGGTCGTGGATCTTTTCCCAAATGGATATTTTCTTAATGTACCCCTCATTCGCGCACTGTTTAATGTCAGTCAATCTTCCTCGTGGCTACGCGCATGTCAGCATTACTTAACAGATGAGAGCATACCGACATTTGTCACACTCCCCGCTTTCCGTTGCATTGTCGCAACCTTGAGTTTGGCCCATCTCCTCCCAAAATTTAACCAAGCAGCCCGTTATACGGAGGGTTTGAAACCATCATCGGGTGGAGAAAAATCGGAGCCCATCTCACTTGGTATCGATGCCGCCAGCCTGGTAAGTAATTATTGGATATAAATGTACCAGAACGTTTAGTATAAAGCTGAAATGCATATAAACACAGTATGACAGCGGTGACATGTTTGCACTAAAAAATCGCGTTCAGCAGCTTGTGAACGTAACTTCATGAGTTAAGTCCCGGCTGTGCATCAGCCTACTGCGCAGCGGAACAATAGTGTGAAACAGAGCCGTGCGATTACGCCTGTACGTCCGAATGACGTCAGATTCCATCATGTGCCGGAGGAAGGTCAAAAAGGGACAGAAAGTTCACGCTCACTCCATGGCCAAGGCACCCCGTACACAAGCACACAGAGGGCCATCTGTGATCAACCGAGATAGAGGAACAACCGCCCGAGAACCCGTGTGGGTGTGCAGGAGACACACTGGTTGGTTGACAGTGAATCGACCATCAAATACAGTCAAAAGTGAATCATATATATAGAAAGTAGTAATTGCGTTAACACACAGTTCTTTCTAGTCGCCTTTTTGTTTTCTGACTACAATCCAGTAGCGTCAGGGAAGGAGAAGAGATACAACATTTCCATGACCAAGACTACTCTTGGTAGTCTATATGTTGAAATTTTTAGTTCAGAAATATTGCATGCTACCAATTATTTTGGCTTTATAACTCTTGCGTGGCCTGACAGTAGAGGGGCTAAAAAGTGAAAAGTTCAGGGAAAGCATACACCGGTTTGATGGAGTGCTTTTGTCAGCCTTGTTTCTAATTGATCCTGGACGTCCAATGTCTTGTTTTGCCTGTCACCATTTTTCGGATTTGGTGGGCATAATGGAACTATTCGCAGTTAGATCAGCCATGTGCGCTCCGCCTTGTATTCGTATCGGAGAAATCTCCTCGCGTTGTACAAAGTGAACACATTTAACTATTATGAGCCAGCAGATTTTTTCGGCTACCCACTAACTGTTGTAAATCCGAATGCTGTGCCCTTGCAGGAGCCTTTTTTCAATACTTTTTTACCTTTGGCTAATATTGGAGTCAGCGACACACAGCCACTGATCTAACTGGGTCCCACAAAATTCACCTAGATTTTGGAGAATCCAGTGAGACAATTAGATTAAAAAGGATTCGGCTGCAATCCAAACTCCCTGTTGACTGGATAGTACTAATTGTAGAACCTTAAACAGCAATGCGGTCCCACTTGTCGGTATTATATAATTCATCGGTAGAGTCGATACCGAAGCCCATTTTATTGTGAAGTCCAGGGTTTAAACACTTTTCAGTTGGGTACCCTGAGATTTTCGCTGAGGTTAAACTCTGACGAAGAAATCTGTTTTTAGCACTTGAAAAAAGCCAAATTGGGTTGGATCGTCCTGCAGATCCCCTCATCCCTAACAAAATCAGTTCAACTGCACTTCAGAATTCACGTTTGCTGAAAAAATCTGGGAAGTAATCAGCCATTTGGACGGCCGTTGATAGATTGTTGTGGTCTTAGTTGTGGTCTTACGTGACCTTTCGTTTACGCTAGAAGCGTGATCGTGGTCTCTGTACATGGTAAGGCTTGTTTTGATGAGACGAATCCGATGGTTACAACATGTTTTGTTCGGATCAGTGCTTGATATCACTCCCTCGTTTATCATCCATATTCATTCCTGTATACTTTATTCATTGATAATACATGCTGTTTGTTTTCCAAAGGTCGAAGGAGTTCGTGCTGTCACTGGTTACATTCGTCGTTTTGAGATAGTACTGGATGATGGCTGTCGACCATCAACTGTCCTAGGCGAGCACTTGCGAATTCGTTCTCTAAGGCCTTTTAATTTACGGTAAGTATTATGCGATCAGCATTTTTGTCGAGTTTCGCTTCACCTGGGCTATGTGATGAAATTTACACAAGAAGGAAATCCGCTAACTTTTCCTAAAAGTCGCAATATGTTCATCACCCACAAAAAATGGTGTCGCCTTACCCATGAGATGGTTTTGCTCATGCTAGCGTGCGCGTTGATTGTTACCGAGAATCTAAGTACTAGAGGATGTTTAGATTTTCTAAGTTTTTCACGATCCTCAGGCTTAGAGATCTCACTTCAAAGCACATATGTCGTCCCTAAGACGGTGATCGAGAGCGTGTTTTGTCTTGGGTGAGATCCAACAGTTGGATGTAAGATAATCCGAACGCTTAGCCTGCAGGTTCATGTCTTACACACCGTACCCCAAATGTGAGTGGTTGCTCATTTTGCCTTTCATCAGAAGATTATTTAAAAGTATCCAACCTCATTTTGTACACTGTCACAACGGATTTGACAAGTGACCTATCTACCTACGATATCATCAAGCGGTTCCAGCCTTGAACAAGCAAGTGAACCTACCCGTACTGATCCACTCTATTTCCATTCCGTCGAGAGAAATTTACGATGACTGGCCGTTTCCCCCATGTGATTTGAGATCTCTGTCCTCATTACTACCCTCAGTGGCATATTTTATTTAGATGTCTGAACCGTGCCAATCAGGCTCGACTGCTTTCATTATCTATTCTCTAAAGATTGTAATAACCAGAAAAAAAACACGGACCTGCTGCATGTCAATATATATCAAGTGTCAGGAAGAGATTTCATGCGCAAGAGATCACTTTCTTATTATACGCCCCGAGGATTAGATGCAAAACAACTTTCCAATTTGTGTTCCGGCATGCACTCCTGGTCAGACGAATTGACGAAATGGATACTTGAAAACGAAGAATTTGTCTTAGTTTACAGCGCAAGCGTACTTTTGCTTTAGATCACTGATCAACGACACTCGGTACTTGCAACGCGAAAAATATCGATGCGTCCATAATTTCACATGCTACGAAACAAGCGGCAAAACGTCTTGTGCCTAAAATATCCAAATGGTTTATTTTAATTGCTTCGTAGCTTCAATGAGATGGGCAGTCCGAAAACAAGTCATTCGAGCAGAAATGATATCCTGATACCTTTCCTCTCCTACGTAATAAACCACTTGGAAGTTGTCCTGTTTCGGTTTCTTCCACCAACGCCAAATCCTTCGAAGCCTGATCCACTTACTAGGAAAAACGCTGGATTCATGTTGGCCCCGATGCTTATTCAGTTGATCACATGGCCCCTCGCGTTATTGCCAGCTGGAACTGTTGATCCACCAACCATATCGAGCGCTGGGAGAGAAAAGAAGTTGCTTGCTGTGAGGAAATTACTTCGAGTGTGAGTTATCATTGGTCTTTTCACTTCGTTTCTTACTTTGAAGTACAAGAAAGACAAGGGTAGGGGACCAGTGGTTGAGTGGGTGAGCGACAGAACGGACGTTAATGAAAGGGTGATCAAGTGCTTGGGAGTGACCGCCTAGATGTGAATGAGTTATTGAACAATTAAATGAATCAGACAGTTAGTCCGTCGGTCGGGCAGTCCATCAGTCAGTCAGTCAATCAGTCAGTACGTCATTATTCAGCTGAACAATACAAAAAATACAAAAGAAAATGCGCGTTCTTGAATTTTCACCCTATAAACATCGATTCAGCCCGACTTTATGCATGATAAATGATCTCAGATGACAGCGAGTTAGAGGACTTTTGTGCTTTTGAATCACAAAACGCCTATCTACGGATGATTTTTTGATTCTCCATTTGACCAGATTCTTACTTCTTTATACAACCAGAAAAGGACTGGTAGACAGTTGAAAAGATTCGCTCTGAACGGTCACCGACCCTTTTGGAAACGCCGATAATCTTCTAGATCCATACACACATTGTCAAGATTTTATGTTCGTGAACGGTTTTACCTGGTTCACAATTTCCTATCATTCCGACCTTGTTGAGTCTCTGAACACAAAACGAGCTTTTCTGTTTTGCATAGTTGTCCCAAAATATCCCACAGTAGAGTGCACTTCAATGCCAGATCATGGGTTTTGTTTGCAGGGCAGAGGTAACCGTCTCATTAAGCAATGAAACCATGAAAATGGTTTCGAAAATGAAGCACGGAAAAATGACTTCAAAAAGCTGGTAGATAATTCTACAGCAGTTTGAAATCAGAAGTTCTTAAGATGAAGATGCCACCTGTCTCCGGCTTATATTGTTTCATAAAATACAGTGCACTGATTACGGTATACATTATTTCGTAACACATGACCGTGTTACGAAAACATGATTTGCATCACTCTGTATGCCAATCCCTATTTGAAAAATCGCAGTGTAGGAGAAGACATCTACATGACTAAGACTAAATGAATTTGTCAACTTTAAGTAGAAACCAGATCCTTAGATGCACTGACACAGGCAATTAAGGGCAGAATTATTGACTACACATTGGGCTTCTTCAAATTGTTTCTTTTCACAGTATAATTTGGGAGTTTGCAATAATCATAATGAACGACATGTTCTTGCAAGACGAAAATAAGGCTTCGTTTGTGAAGGAAAGTCTCAGGTATCACCACACTAGGACAGCAAATTGCGTTTTATAGGTATTGAAGCGTTTTTTTGGCATTCTGGGTGTAATTTCATGATACATCATGTTGACTGTTTCAGCCGAATGAGCAGCCACGATTAGCCTCCTTCATTTGGTCTTCGGCCAAAGCGTGTAGCACTAGCTTATTCTCTCTGAACGAGCCTGGCAAGCGAGAAGCAAGTTATCCTACAATTACACTTTAAAGTGCTTCTGATTTTCTGAGTGTGTCAGTTTTGACTCATTCCATAACTGTAAGCTCCGTTTGTCTCTATTCACTCAGAATTGCCTCGATTGTTCACGCTTTGCCGGTAATGGAAACGAATGCTCCAAAAAGCCTCCATAAAGCGGAAGATATCCCAAGCCTTTCGGTTCAGATAGAAGGAATCATTTCTGGTCAGTTGGATCTGACTGGTACGGTGAATGCCTACTTCACACATTTAGAAGGCATGATGGCTGATTTGGTAGGTCCTGCTTTCCGAATCTTTGGGTGTTTTCAGTGTTTTCGCAGTCGAACTCACGTGCCTGCTGTGAACGCGATATTTTCACTCCGTAAATCCAGCTATTCTCCCCAATGTTCAGACACAGGCCAAGAGGGATTGTAACTGCGGTGGCAGCTCAGTTCGTTACCACAATCCAACGAATGAATATGCAAGTAGACAGCACGAACCACTCGGAAGACAAGATTATAGTGACAATCTAGTCTTGTATAACCTAATTTGAAATGAAACAGATGCAACTTTAGGTAGACCCAACTGGAAAGACAACTCAGCTGCACACATGAGTTCCATTCTCACAGGTGTCAATTATTGGCTAATGTTCAAGTTGAAGTTTTAATTAAATTTAGATGGTGTGATTTGAAGCAGATGGCCAGGCAGCAACTTCATCATTCATCTTCACATCACCCTCATGTGACCAGTCGTCCTACCGTCCTGGTGAAAAGAAGAAGGCCCTCGCTGCGGAGTTATTTATTGGAAAATACCAAATGGAACAGTTACAGACTATTGAACAGCGAAGCGAAACTCTCATATATATCTTGTTTACAAAAACTGAACATCCATCTTCTCCTGAACGCGTCTTCCTGAACTTTCCTAGATATTCATTGACTATTGCTCAAATCCAAGCAAATGCTACAAAGCAACTCCACAAATTCCGCAATAGATCTCACTTTTCAAGAGGTGCGAAGCGAATTCACGAAAGAACATATTACCCGCATGCCTTCCCATCAGTAGTATCACAGTCACACTGGTACAGTCCTTCTGTTGAGTTGACATAACCAGGACAGTTACTGGGCCATCGTTTGAGCCGTCGTCCCACCCAATCACATCACTCAAGCTTGAAAATTCAGACGCGTGTAGCGTGTGCAGATGGGTTAGTGTCAACACGTTTTCCTCGCATGTCAGCTGGGCACTGAGAGTCAGCACATTTCCGGGTGGGAACATTTGGGCGGCGAATATCGAGTTGGGCCGTTGGTTTAAATTTTTAGGGCCGCAATGACCATCTACGGGATTTGGAATAATTTAACTGATACTGATGATGAAATCTGCTTACCAACCTAAAACTAGTTTGATAGATATTCCGTGCGTGAACATGCAAGAACCGGTACGAAAAACAGAACATCGCTCCACTTGCTTAGTGCTCACCTGCAAGGCATTTCGTTCCTCTTACACTGAGCTCACATTAGCTTTCAATATCCGGCAACGTTTGCTACACCACTCATATGCTCAGCGAACAAACCAGCAACCAAGAACTCACCGAGTCACATGTACTACTCGGCGTGACCCCTTAATTTACACTACAACTGAAAATAGCTGCACTAGTTGAATCCAAAATGCTGATGCTTGTTTATTCTGACTAGTATGCCACCATAGGTTAATTGTCACTTTTCCGCCCGACTGACGTAAATTCACCTGGTTTTACTGTTCTTGAGTGGGACACTTGTTCCCTGCAACTTTTTTGCCACAAATTAATCCAAGTTACCATAAGAAGCATTACGACAGGCATCATACACTCTTTTAATTTTATCCCTCGCAAATATAGTTGACGGGAATATGATTTGGTCTGCCAGCATGCCCCCAATTTTCTACCATTAAGACAGAAAAGCGTCGCACAATTTTGAGAAAGGAAACAATTTGAAACGTTTATTGAATTTTTCGTTCTAGACACGAGCATGGACCCCTACTCCATTGTGTCAATCAGCATCATGGTGGTGGTTCCGAGCTTTATGTGAGCACATGCCTCGAATGTTACAAATTGCACCGCATGCCAATCCAGTCAGCCTTATACGCCGACTTTTGGACGCCACCGGAAAACTATCCAGAGGAGGAAAACCCGTTAGACAAGCCACTAGGTTACTGTCAGATAGAAGGCTAGTGCAGCTTTGGAGTAAGGCCCTCGCATATGCCAAGATGGAGGCAAGAAAAGAGTTGGCAAGCAAAAAGAAGGGAAAGTCGTTAGGCTACCGATGGCCAACAGTAGGAGAGCTGCTCAAAAGTGTGGGGTCCTCCAGAACCGATAGCACAGGCTCAGAGAGACGTTCATCGAATGAGAAAAAGAGGTCTGACGTCTCGGAGGAGAATGACTCAGTATTCGAGTCACATTTTGACACGACACAAGCGACGAACTACAAGAATCCAGCTTTTGACTACATGACTGACGAGGAAGAGAATTTCATTTTAGAACCTGCGGACCCCGACAGTTCATCGAGCGAAGAATTGGAAATGACAGAGCGGAAACAAACGCGTGCACGTATGAGTCTATCAAGTATGTTTTGGTCTTTTACATGTCTCATCCGTTTTCATAGTGATCAGCTTCATCACTAATATTTATTGACATCCATGACTTCTGTAGAACATTGTCAGACTTAGCGGTATCAATTGGTGACTTGCAGGAGAAGCTACACCACATCAAGTCATGTTATCATATTTCAAAGCCCTTTTTCACTCCACCTCTATTCTGAAGCTACAGATGTAGCAGTTCAGTCGAACATTCGGGGAGATCCCATCGAAATGAAATATATAAACCTGCCGATTTGGTACGGTCAGAATAAGAATGGCCTAACAAAAATGTGTTGGAAGTACCTGAAAATTAGGCTCGTATGCATTTCCCGAGAGCACATAAATTCAGCGGAACTTCCACACTACGTATGGCCTTACCGCTACATTAGCTGTTTTGAAGTTGAAACGCTTTATTATAAACACCCTTTTTGATGAACGGAATTTGATGAACATTTAAGCAACCGCGAGAACCGGCTGGGACGGATTGTTTACGTATAGTTATCCAGCGATATGGCATGGGCTCACCTGAGAGTCAGCTCTGGTTGCCTCATTCCATCGTGACTTGTTTCTCAGTGAGGATCTCTTTCTTGAACTGCTTCGCACCCACACGAACTACTTGTCTCGCGGTGTTATTCTTGAAGGTGTCTATTCATGTGACAACTACAAATATCTCACCTAGTCTGGAGGCCTTCTTGTGAGAATGAATCAGCCATTCTAAGTTTCATCAGAACATTCAGTTGGAATTTGAATCCACAGTGTGCTTATTCGACGAATTGGGTCATGAATTTCCTTCCCAAGGAAAGTGCTTTTGTACTGTGATACAGCAGTTGCTTGCTTAGAGGCACTGTGGGTTGTTTGGTGTGTGATCCTTTGAAAATGGCAGAAAATTTGTATGTTGTTCAGGCAAGGACTATGTTTTCCCAAGGTAAACTGAACTGTACTACGTCAGAAATTCCCTCATCATATTCACCTGATAAGAGTGGATTATCTGAGGTCTCAGTGAACCGAGGATGGTTCATTGTGTATCTCTGTTCTACACCCCACGAAATGGCAGTCACCAGAACAGAACGATTTCGGTCGGTATTCAAAACTCGCGCTTCTCAGGCAAGCACTGTGTTATCCTGGTAGTCACATTGTTCACTGAGGTTGATCACCACTGAACATGACATTATCAATGCATTGTCATGAAGTGGGGTGGAACTGTACGTTGATAGTTTTGTTTTGAACAGTGATGTGTTTGTACCAGTTCACATGTACCTGCAGAGCACGTTACATGGAAAGTACCTACAAATGCTCGCACGAAGGAATACGCACTCCTTTTTAGAGTCACATACTAGTCGAATATCCGGCACATTTCTCACTACAGTCAACGACCAGCAAGCGTTATGTGGCTCAAGATCACAGAGTGGATATCACTGCAGCACTCACTACTCCGAAACCCATGTGTTATGGAGTTCGCCCGGTCTGCATTTTCCAGCCGACTAAAGCCTTCTTCATGTACTCAAAAGAAGCCAGTTGCAGCACCTGGGCTACCTAAGATTTAACATGCCTCATATGACATTAGCCAGTCAGAGCTCATCCAAGTGACTGCTTCCTCCTTGGCATAGAGATATTACACAAACATCTATTAATCCCTGGCTTTTCATAGTGGAATCACCATCATTCCCGAGCGAAAGAAGTTTAATCTCCTTACGAATTATAACGGTTGGTTTACTTCAAAGCGTAAAAATATCTTTACATCATTTTCTCCTTCGCATTATTGACAATTTCCGTCACGGACACATGTCCTGTGTGATATCGGAGAAGTGGAAATGCTTCTCAAAAACGCCCTTGTTTCTTTAAAGAAAATTAGCAACTGCACCGTATCGAGTACCATCTCGCCATCTTTCTCATGTACTATATTACAGGAAAAAATAGAAGACGAAGATTAACGAGCAAGTAAGCCTTTTTTTAGCAATTTGTTTTTTACGAAAATCTAACTGAATACCTCGTTTATGATGTTCTTCTCCAGATGAATGTAATGCATTAGACGGCCTGGTGTTTCAGTTGGTACGATAGATCAGTATAAGAAATCATTGCATAGAAGTGACGCACTGTTCCTTAAAGCAGTCCAGTGTGCTGTCGAAGTGTTTTCAGCAACCGTTTGAGTAGTGTGTTATTTTTATACAACAGAGCCATGGGTTTTCTCGTTTTCACACCATCACCTTCATGCTTGCGTAAGCATACTTCTAAACAAACTTAGAGTAAGTTTTCAATCAGTCGCTGTGGCATAATATACCGATAGGTAATTTTGGCGCTGACCAAGTTAACCCGCTGGTGATTTTGGTCCAACCCATCGGTGTCACAAGTCTGTCATTACCCAAACTGAACAGAACAGCTGTACCCTAACTGAAGCAGGTCATGAAAATTCGTGCGTTGCTAATTCCACACATGGACTTTTGACTGACCGGTCCTATACGGTCGATTTCCGCTCACAAAACGTAGCTGCTTTTGAGAATCAGTGTTGCAGGCACTGACATTCAGTAACTCGGAAGACAATGGACATGTTGCTCAGTAGGAATTGTGCTGCATGGCGTTTTAAATAAGCTTGCATGGTTTATGAAGCTTGACTGCTGCGTTTTTGTATGGAAAACAAATAACGGAATACGTTTTATCCCCGGGCGATCCTGATGCCAAAAATTAATCCTACGGCCCAAAAAAATCCCCCCTACTGTGGGTTAACAAGCATCTCAGCTACCTACTTCACGCTCCATTAAATCTAGAATATCTATTGAGTTAACTTGGACCTACATTTCAATGAGGATATCCTTGGTAGGTGTTCAGTGCGACACAGCATCTAATAAGGTAATAAGCCAAAGGGAGGTGTTAAACGAACTTAGCCACAGCAATAGATAAATGGTATACAATATTCACATCGAGTGTAATTTTACTTTGCTGACAGAGATTGCATCGACATCTTAAATACGTAGACTAGCCCCTGGTGTTTACTGCAAGGCTTACAAACTTAACATGATTATTCAAGTTCTGGAGGAAGCAGCACGAGGATAATTTTTTGCTTGAGTTCTGAGGGTTCTTGAGAACTAAATTTGACAAAGGTATGAGGACAATATCATTCGAGTTTACCCGATTTGTGGTCCGAAACAAAAGCACTACAACGGTGTGCGCAAAATTTCTCAGGCAATGTCAACCTTCGCTATTTCGGTCGTGAACAAATCACTTGTACTCTTACGATTCCTCGGTTTCTGCCTTCTCGCTCACTACCTGGATTGATTGCCTTACGGTGTCGGGGTAGAATAGGGGAGAGAACAGAAACAGTACAAACCACTTGCTTAATATTCAAGCACTTGATGAGAGACCGGGGCATTTGTCTAGGGCTGTTTAACACAAATGTATCGTAGAGTGCCATTCCAAAGAATAAACACACAAATCATCGAGACTATTGAAAATTCAAAAGCACCGTAACCATGAGTGGGCAGCGGGGTTATTCGGTACATAAAAATTTTGTTACATTCACACGGGGGAACAATCCGACAGCCAAACCCTACAAAGTGTAAGGTCATGCTTGTGGACGTGCAGTCACTGAACACGCCACTTACAATCCAGGGAGAGGCACTGGAATTTGTGGAGCGTTTTACGTATCATGGAAGTTGTATTAGTTCTGATTGTAGTGTGACAGATGAGGTGAATGTACAAATCTGCAAGGCTCGGGCCGAGTTTGCTAACTTGAGACATCTATGGTGTCAGAATGGTTTATCCCTGAATCTGAAGGGACGTGTGTATCAAGCTACCGTACGGGCTGTCTTGTTGTATGGCTGTGAGACTTGGCCTGTTCGAGCAGCGGAAATGAGAAACCATTCAGATCTCCCTTAAACACGCATGCGTGTTTTCCATCTCACCCCAGAAATTGACACATACTATGCAAGTATAGGTATTATGTAGAAATCATGTGACTTTAGGTTGTCCCTTGTGGCCCGAAAGTTTTACTGTTTTGACCACACGTATATTTCAGCTCTGAACCGAAGGCGCAGCCAATCGAAACTCCACCACCCTTCTATGACATTGTGGATTTGGTAAAGCGTGCGTGGAGATATTGTCAGCCAGGTTAGTTTTTTTTACCATTCTTTGTTAGTTACAATATTTGCTGTTTTATTTCCCACCACCGTCAATGCAGCGAAATAGAGAATGTGATCTTTCCAGCGCACACATTTTCGTGGGCTTCACTACCCACAATGTGACTGATAGTTGGGACAAACTAATGCTGTTGACACAAATTGTAGAATCGAAATGAAGGCCGCCAGTGAACCAATTTTGATCTTAAATTTATTGTAATTTGTTTTGGGAACTATGCTAATATCTGATATCGCATCAGCTTATAGTTTCATATTGGCTCCTTTACTGCAGCCAATAAGTTCTGTCCAAATGAGTAGGCTGGATGATATAACCAACGTATTTTTCCAAACCCTTTCAATCGTAGCCAACCATTTTTGGAGTCAAAAGACACCTCAGATGAATCTAATCGCTGCATTACTCCTCTGTTTCGAGTGGTGTTGTATTTATGCTGTGTTTACCGTCATACTGCGTTCAGCAGTTTGCATGAGTAGTCACTGGTTTAGAAGGAGAGGGATCGCAGTACCGCAAGGTAGTAGAGATTTCGTCCTGTGTGCCCAAAATCTCATAGTAGAAAATCTTAAATCTTTCGACCCTCCTCACACTACTGACAAACGGCGCTTTGAGGAACACGAAGCTTTGAGCTGAACAAGAACCTGCATTTTTGTGAAATTCGCGCTCATTCTTCGGCCCCATATGGGAACTGGTTCATCTGTCTTCGTGCGTACCAATTTGTTTTGGATATGAGCATAAATTCGCCAACTTATTCTAACATTTCCTCAGCAGGTGTCAACTAATGCTGTTCACTATATTGAGCTGGCCTCTGTACAGAGTCAAACTGATGAACTACCTTAAAGAAGTGGCATTGCGGAAAACCTGTTGGACTCTGGCCTCAACTTGTGGGTCAGGAAGTGCAAAGTATAAACATATACTACTATAAAGAATATTGTGCCAAAGTCTCTTAATCTTGAACGACCCCAAAGTCTGTGCAAGTAGAAATACGTTGACACACCCAGACAGCCCCCGCTCCATTCGCAAGATTCATCTTCGCAAAACCAAGCGTTTCCTGTGTTACAACGTCTACCCTGTTGCAGAAGCCAATTTTACATTCACTTTCGTACCCCATGTACTCCGAAATTTTATGCACCGTTGGTAAAAAGGTTTCCTAATCATGTTTCTGAGGGCTATTGTGAATATATTTTTATTTGAATGTTAATGGCAAACTCAACTAGAATGCTCCATCCAAAGTTCACAAAATAGGAAAATCAGTCATCTGTCTTGCGAGAGGAGAATGTGAAGATGGCGCGGGTATTTACTGCTTCATCTGCAGTATGTATCTGCCTAATGTACCTATCAGTTGGGTAACGCTTCGACCATTACAGAAAGTGTACAACGACTGCACAGCGACTGAAACACATGAGAATCAACAAAAGAGGCATTTTTAGGCCTGGATAAAGCTTGGTAATTTCGGAGCTGAGTAAACTAAGCCACAAAAAGCTACTTTGACCGTAAATATATATTTAAAACCTAATCCTTTAATGAGTGTATCGAGTTGAAACGACAGTGATCAGCTTCAGTTGTTTAGCAGCCTTCAAGGCCTAATTCCAGAGGGAACTTTTGGAACCGACTGTATTATCTTCACAAAAAACGACTTGAGCCAATCAGTTCCACCATGTCGTGAACTAGTTTCTCCGGTCAAAATGTCCGCAGCGCTTCAATCTACACAGTTGTCACCAAGACATTCTCCAAAGATCCTACCGCGAAATCCGTTGCCTCATGTACTTGCTACAGAATGACTGTCGAGCGCGATACTGGGACGTGAAACGTTCACTAAGAAAGATGTATGGCAGTCTACTTTGCTGAAGTCGCCGACATAGTTCGCCGGGTGTTAAATTTCCCCACTTCAGACCGAACTCTGTAGTGATTTACCAATAATGTTATGTCAGAACCGCTAATTTTTCAACTTTTCGTGTAAGAATTAGGTCTTTTGAAATTATTCTTACCGATTCTCTTAGGCGACGGTAAGCAAGCCTGCTTCGCTCATCTCCTCAGCGTATTTCGTGGGCCTGCTTTTCTCAAACACTGTTTTGCACTGTTTTTAATAAAACTCAGCAAAATTTTGATATTTTAAGCGAGCCTATGTATCTACTACATTAAATCCCACCCAGCATTAGAAATCGCTGACCGCAAGTCACTGATGAAAACAGTGGGATATGTTCTTCACCGAATTATCTGACCGAATTATCTGACCGTGACCCGTCTGTTTAAATTGTTAAACTAACCACACCAACAGGAGTGGAGGAAGTTCACAAACAGCTTGCTAGTGGAGAAGGCGATGACTGGTGGGCTGGTTAGAGATCCAAAGCTATTCAAAACCACGAAAAAATACGCTCACAGAGAAAATTTTCCACATGAATGTCCTCTACAGAGGGAGGGCATGAAAACTGATTAAAAATTTCGTGCCTTCTTATCGTGATGCACTTCTTATACGTTGGATGAATGATGTCGACGGAGTGCTCTGAAACTTCCTGTGCTACGACAAGAAAGCTTAGCACTCAGATTACAAAACTAATTCGACTGAAAACTCGATAGCAAAGACTGTTAATTATGAGAGAGGAAAACAAAATGGAACAAATCAGTAACGTAATGGGAAAGAGAATATCAACTCTTAGCTTTCAAAAGTAAAGAGAACCTTGCGACGGTTTCCTGGACTTAAAGAACAGCCATACAGATCATGGGCCGTCAGACTGTCTAGTCAGTGGATCAGGGAAGGATAAAATAGCAGTAAAGAGTGCGAACTTTGGTCGATGTACTTGGCCCGCCTACTATTTTTACGACCACCACAGGCTGTTCTGAGCAGTTTGCTCGTTTTCGTTCCATACCTGATCAATCCACATCGTACGTTAATCCACTTTATTGAAGTCTCACTGTTAGTGGAGCACAGCAGCAGTGCATATTTCTGGTCAATCCTGAGTATAAACATCGGCCTGGGGGTGTGCCAGGATGAGCGTGCTAACATCGAATCACCATCAAACTCTGGACTGACCTGAACTCTCATAGCTTTGGCGGGCAAAGATGTTTGTACTTTCTAGCACATAGGTTAAGTCTGGCTATAATTTCAGGAAATTCCGAAAATGCCTATGCGTTGGAAGTTTTACCGAATCATGGTTAGATGTTTGATCGTGCGGCTTGACGATCGTAAAACACTGACTAGTTTGGACTGGCCCATGGCACTGCAGATAAACTGTGTGAACATCCACACACTATATTACGTTAGCTTGCTGTAGTTTTGGTGTAAGGGGAAAGTACTTGCACAGTCAGCTATTGGTAGTGTGAGGAGATTTGGGATTTTTATGGAGATTTCGTCCTGTAAGTGAAGCCAGTCTATGCTGAAAAGCCGAGAAGCACTGTACAGCTGTTTCATCCTTATTGGGAATCATCAGCAGTGCGCATCTCACGAAACTCCGGAGAGTTTCTAACCCGCGACCTCCTGGCTAGTAGTTTGAACACTTAACCATTCGGCCACGAGCGGCTGATCAGCAGTGTGATTAACTCGCGCTTAGACAGGATATAGCGCCGCTTATTCTTCAAGCACGGGATCCACATCACGCGGTCACACGTGTTGACTGGCTCCTCGAGCAACGACTTCTCAGATAAAAGTTTCACTCATCGGGAGGTCGCGGGTTAGAAACTCTCCGGAGTTTCGTGAGATGCGCACTGCTGATGATTCCCAATAAGGATGAATCAGCTGTACAGTGCTTCTCGGCTTTTCAGCATAGATTGGCTTCACTTACAGGACGAAATCTCCACACAGTCAGCTATTCGTATGAAGCCCAACGACAACCAAGTGATACTTCATATCCTTCTAAGAATACGCTTGATAGTTATTGAATGAAACTAACAACTAGAATGAAACACAGCTCATGGTTTTTTATTCTTGCCGAAGCTGCATAACCTCCCCGATCTAGGAAAACGCTCACCTTGGTGAAAACGCCATGTTGGTAACCGAGAAATGCTGTACTTATCGACGAACCTGATACATGTTGTAATATTTGACAGCATTTCAAAGGAGTACTCAACGTAGAGACACTGTTTCATCCTTGTTAATTTTTTATTATGCTGCAACATCATCAGTATCCCCATCACTGACCGCAAAATCAGGGAACACTGGTGCTTTATTGTGTCGCACAGCTGTCAATTTGTTTGAATAAAATCTCGTGACAGAAAGAATTTAGAGTTGGATAGGAATCCCAGAGCTATCCCACAACAAAAAAACAAAGAAGCCTATACTTCCAACATTCAGCTAGACAGTCTGGATATAAAATGACGCCATTGAAGTCGATTAACCAGCGTCTTTCGTGAACTGTTACGTGGACCCCATCCTGGAAGGTGAACAGCACCAGCACCATCCATACTGCTCGTAGGATACTTCATTTCCTTCCTCCATATCAAACTCAAACTTTGTCTTCCACTAGGTGTCTGCCACTCCCATTTAGGTGCGGATATCAGCGCTTGTCTCGGTAGTTGGTAACTTGGCATGCATATTACATTGCACAGCAACGGACCCCATCAAGGTGAACAGCACCAGCACCATCCATACTGCTCGTAGGATACTTCATTTCCTTCCTCCATATCAAACTCAAACTTTGTCTTCCACTAGGTGTCTGCCACTCCCATTTAGGTGCGGATATCAGCGCTTGTCTCGGTAGTTGGTAACTTGGCATGCATATTACATTGCACAGCAACCGTAGCTTGCAGGACAGAATGCCATTCTCTGGGTGAAGTACCAGGTTACTTAACTGACAGTAATATTCTTTGAATAGCACTAGTGCTTGCATCTCCTGTGACAGCAAGCCCCCTGTCAGATGTGATTTCTGTACGTGTATTTACTCTTTTCAAAGTGTTCACCCATTCTTGTGCAAGCTATTCGATTCCTACTTACAAAACCCTATTCGGCAAAATGTCCAGGCAACCAGTTGGACATGATCCACCGAATGAACACTATATTTAGGGTACTTGGTACATTTCAGTAGTTGCGATTGATTGCATCAGTTAATGTGGATTCTTGCGGTTCTCTCAGCTTCCTAGATGCTTACCTTCCTTCCGTCTTACCAAAGTCCGATGCATTCTCTGCATTCTTCCTTTGCTTCAGTTACTGTGGGAACGTTGAGAAACATATTATCAAGTGCAGAACTCTCCCTTATCATAGAAGAAACTGACCCAACAAAAGCACTGCCTTCGCAATATTCACATCAGACTCAGCGGAGAATGTCTCAAGGGCGCGCCGTTCGCCTCTCGTAACACGGTCCGTGCGTTGCCAGAGAAGGCAGCAGAAAATTCCAAAATAACCCCCGTCTATTTTTAACATATGTGAGCACACTGTGCTTAAAGTGCTTTTCGGTGCACATGTATTTTTGTTAAACACTGTTCATGTATCTATCGTATCGCCGGTATTTATAAGAAAATATGTCCATCTCCACAAAGGACAGAGACTTCTTCACTTCTAATCATCGACTTTAATTTTTGTGAGAAATATACTGTCATAGTTTCACTGAGTATGTTTTCACCTTCTGTCCAGTCCATACACACACGCACAAAAACACACATATTCCATGAGTTATTCCATCTCAGCGATCTAAGTAATGTGATTTACCCAGTACTGTATTGATGAGTGTGATTCGTACCACTCTAAGAGGGCTTTGCGTTCCTTGCTTTTAGTTTTTAACAACTCTGGTTAAACGACAAAACTCCATCCACCCTTGTATCCGTTATTGGTTCCGGCTCTCCCGAGATTCATTAAGGTAATAAGCAAGTGTGTAGCGGTCCTCCATGTATAAAGACCAACAAGAAAGAATAATTTACTTAGTCTGCCAAATCACGTTTTGGTCCGGACAAAACTATATAACTACCTGATATAGGGTATCTGTTTAAAATCACTTGAAGGTCGTACTAGGAATTGATTTTTGATATGAATGACGCTGGACTAGCGCCATCATTTCCATCAGAGGCACATACAGATATACCAGTTATTACACATGGATCCCTCCCATTCAACCGGAAGTTTTGTTTAATTTTATTGCAAAACCATAAGATTAAAACTTGAAGTAAGGGTGGAGAAGTGGCTTGGTGCTGACTTACCATTCTTTCATAAGCTGCTCAATCAGACAATCCGGAAAATAAGTGACAGTAAAATAACTCGAGTAACCTATCATGGCAACCAGTTCTTGCAAAGACTACAGCCAAGCGTTGTAAGGGCCCCGAAAAAGTTAGTTTGAAAAGCGGACCACACCAGCAACCCATACAACATCTTTGCCCACCACCAGACATTCTTCTGCTAAGTCGTGTGTTTTTCCGCGCCGACTTTTGAGTCATTTTAAAGAAAACAGGGAGAACAACACTCGATTTTTACGTAGCAACTGACCGAACCGCCGCAGCATTGGATGGTCTCTGTGACTGACGTATTAAACATCCGCTCTCTAATAACCTCGTTACTTATTCATCGCCCAGTGCTAACTACACTTCCGAGAAATTATTGGTCCCTAGTTCATCAGCTTACAGAAGTCATGTATCACGAGCACACAACAACAAGGCCCTTAATATAGCTGTTGAGAGAGTCGAGTAGTTTTAGGTTGAGATTACAAGGAAGACAGAATAGAAGTGCATAATGTGCGGCTTAATAATCTAATATATAGTGAGAATTACGAGTTACTGGCGTATGCAAAGGTATTGTTTGTATAACCATTACATTCTCCCTGGTTTGGAATATGTGCGTGCTTCTGCGGCAAACGAGTGTAAAAAAGTAAAAGCTGTGGTAGTTACGTAGAGCCGTTTACGCTTCTCTGTCGCGCAGAGTGCGCTGTTGTCGGATAAGAATGTCAAAGTGATTTCCTGGATCTGCACTAGAATGGGAAGACAGCTGTGGTATTACGTAGAGCCGTTTACGCTTCTCTGTCGCGCAGAGTGCGCTGTTGTCGGATAAGAATGTCAAAGTGATTTCCTGGATCTGCACTAGAATGGGAAGACGAGGCATTGTTAATAAGCAAGAGTTCAGTTTCTGAGAAATCACAATGGACTGTTGTTGTTGCCCTAGACTCCCCTTGTTCGGCGATATGTAGTGGTTGCAGTGGTTCTGCATTGGATATTATGTCTTTGCCTTTAGAAGCCAAGCGACGTAAGAATACGGTCACGTGTTTACCATCTGGACAAAATATTTGGGCGTGCTTTGGTTTACAACAGACGGGTTCCAATTTCTCCACTATAAGGTCATTTTTAGAGACTCGAATATTGCGTTTAAAAAGGGTCGGCCCATAGACAGTAAGCCAGGTAGGTAGGGAAACACCGTTGACTGATCGTCGTGTGGACGGCATGGAACGTTCTTTAAGGATATTGTTGAAACTGGTACAAAACGGGGATCTGATACAGTGGAGAGCATCAAAAAGGAAAAACTCTCAATATGTGGCAGGTAGGCTGTGTGATCTTACGGGCAGACAGATGGTCTTCCAATGAGTACCATTGGGTGGTTCAATCTGACGACTACATTGTAGATTATACGATGTGACTAACGGCGATGTCTTTCTCGAACATTCATATAGTGAAAACAGTTGACTTAAGCAACGAATCACAGAGGAGGAGGACATATCGGTGCGAGGATAAGCAAAGTTCAATCGAGAATACTCGTAAACGATTGTTAAGAATTACTTGTTACGAGTGCTTGAAGGAAGGCGTTCAAAAGGTTGTGTGACTTTGATAAGCTGGCCTCGAAAAGTCTCACAAAATTCTGGTTTAAGTTTGAAGTATCTGAAATAGTTAGACACCACACGTCGGACATCGCTGACTGAAAAAAGGAATGTTCTTATAACGAACAAAATGCGCAAATCTCGTGACCCCAGGATAGCATAGTACGTTGTGAAGCTCTCCAAGTTTTATCATCCCAGCAATGTTGGCAAAAAGATAAAGAGATAGGGTATTAGCAAGGCGGTTATCCGTTCCTGGTCTATAGACGACGTCGCAGTTGTATCCTACTAATTAGATTTTCTACCGTCCAATCTTGTCACTCTTTGCTTTACTCTTCTGTTGGTTACCGTACATAAAAGCGACCGAACGTTGATCCGTAGTCAGTATAAGTGAATGGATCACTTCGATGGTAGCATATGCTTTTTTCAACATCTGAATAGTTTTTCTCGCTTGCAGTGAACGTCCTGGAGAAAAAGGCGACCGGCCGGTTACCCTGGCTCAGGGATGCACCAATAGCGATGTCGGACGCGTCGACCACAAGAGAGATATTTAGTCGACAGTACCCAGCATCGCGTTCCCTAGTTCGTGCTTAAGTTTCTCAAAAGCTGTCCGGACATTCTCCAAAGATGTAACCTCTTCAGTTGCGAAGCTGCTTTCCGTGTTGTTCAAAGTAATGTTGTATACTTTAGCAGCATCGAGAAAATGCCTAAAATGACGGTCATGTTCATTTCTCGTTTTACCGCATATAGTCAGGTTATCAATGTAGGCTAATGCGTCTTTAATCTGTTCGGCTTTGACTTTATTGTTAAACATCCGTTGGAAACACGCGACTTCATTTGTCTCCCCTAAAGAAATGCGCCGAATCTGTTATAGGTTTCCGCCTGCTTGAAATTCTCTGAACGGGTTATCCGACTCGATTATTGGAACCTGATGATATGCACTCTGATGATTCAGTGTACAGTGGACTGTGTGGTGTGCAATATTTTCAGTCATTTGATCCAGTCTTGGACACTGAAACACCTGTAACGAGGGTGGTTGAGGTTTTCACAAAAGCGACAGTAACTTGTTTCGGGATTAACTATGGACGAAGGAGAAGACACAGAACAGGTAACGGGTTGTGTGTATACGAGGCGAGCTGAAACACTTTGTGGTGCTAACTGGACGCCAGTCTGGGTAAGCTAAGAGTTCAGCAACTCCAGATATGGTTAACCACCATGTTTGGTTTCATTGTGACGGTTACTTTCGACAATATACACTAGGGATCATCTGGCGCCTCCGCACCAGTCCCAACCATTACGCAGAAGAGACTCGAGGGGCTCACGTGTGAGGAATGTGGCAAGTACTGCAAATGGAAAGCATGCTTTGTAGCCCTGTACCGAGTTCACGACAATAAAATTGTCGGTACGAACATGGTCTGCACTGACTGTTCTCCTTTTTTTCGGATGAAGATTGACCTGAGACAACATCACGCACACCCCACCTTGCATAGTGCAGATAAGCTTAGCCGAGTGAGGAATTCCGGTGCTTGCTGGTCCCAACAAGAATCACAGTCGCTCTTGCGACTGGCTAAGAATTTATATCCGTCTTGTGAAACGCAAACCGCGCTGCTCGCGAGATCGGGGCGGTATTTTCCTGGTGGATCAAATCAGGTTGCGGATGCTTAACAAGCACAGCAGAACAAATCATCATCTCGTGGACCTGACCAAAATATCGGTCGAATAGCGGCCCACTTGTCAGATTCCGATGACCATAGCTTTTGTTTTAAAGAAACCCGTGGACTGTGCCTTGTCATTCTTGGAATTCCATGCTGACATTTCGCTTGCTAGTGTTGACCTCCTGGGATTTGCCTGAGGGTTGCAGTCTGGCATCATGACACCGGAGCAAGTCCTGTCGCTTTTGGAGCTCCATGCCTCCAGGGAATTTCCACACATCTGAAAAACTACCTGATGCCGAGGCAAAATATTCGCTCGTGCTCGGCCAAGTCCATCGAATTACGCCCAAAATGTTGGTTAATTATATCGGGAAGTCTATTCGTGGATGGCCACGTCTACCGAAGGACAACCCGATTGGCTACATTCACGCCGGTAAACAGTATGGGAGGCTTGTCTGAGTGCCTCAGTTTTGATGCAGCGAGGAGCGCGTACGGAAAAGCCCCTTTCTACCCACTGCCGAGTACTACGCAATGTGGTAAGATTGTTTGGCAAGATTGTTCGAGATCTCAGCGTAAACATCAAGGAAGAGCTTGTGGCTGCTTGGGGTGATAGTCCGCACAGCAGCGTTGACGGTCGCTTCGCCTCTTCCTAATCGATGCATTGTATCTTCAGAACGACTTAGTGAGCCCAATGTACTTCTGATCATTTGACACAACACTGGAACCCAATCAAAATGGATTGAGGAATTTTTCAAAGAAAAATGTGATGCTCTTAAAATAAAAGGTTATGTTGTCCCTGAGAATACTGCATGTTTGGAAACCCCAAAAATTACCACCGGTTTTGCACTTTGGATAATTTTTTGCGACTCATCCAAACTGCCAGAAGCGGTCCCTAGAAAGATTTACAGCTGCACATGGCTGGTCACTGAGAAGTCTTCTAACAAGCCTTCACCAAAGAATCAGTTTCTGCAAATTTCCATTCACTTCAGCATTAGCTACAGATGGCGTGCACCCTGCAGTGCTGAATGCGACAAAACCTCATAAATGTGAGAAAACACTGAGTTATTAACTGAAGCAACAGGATATAGAGATGCCATAATACCACACAGGCTGCCGAAATCCTACATGACTACGCCAGTCCCAAAGGTGTCTATGCTGTTGTTTTCATCGTCTGAAAATATTTCTCTCAAACAGAACTTTCATAGTGAACTCAAATAAATCCAAGAC